GTGGCAACTTTAGCCCCCATATTTTATCTCCTCTTGTCACATGGCAACCTTACTGATCTCACCTTGGAGCGCATTCGTAGAAGAAAGTCTTTATTTAACCAATCAAGAGTTTCTCAGATTTTTCAATTGCATATGAGAGATGAGGGCCACAACCGACACAACAGAACTAACTTTTTGAGACTTCTGTTTCAGCCATCTTTACTTACCAACTTCTGTGTCTGTTAAGAAGTAGGGAAAAAGTCGTCCATCAAGATCCTCTCCCACGACACCAATGACTTGGTCCTTGTCTGTAATGATTGGGGATCCAAGGATAAAAGATTTTTCGCATATACAATCCTTGACAGGAGAATTAAGTTCGTGCTTTCCCCTGTCGTAGTCGTACTTGAAAGTGAATTTTACGGTATCTTTGCATCCGGTGAATGAGTATGCAAAGACATCCTTACTCTTTTCATCACTTTCTGGAACTTTCAACTTAAGTATTTCAAAATCTTTCTTTGGCGTCGGTGCGTCGCCTCGTAGTAATGAAATGAACGAGCAACTTTCAATTTGCTCGACCTGTGACATTTCGAACCGATAGTTTTTCTGGTCATTAAAAAACTCTTTTGAACACCGATGCAATCTTATTGGCTTAGCTTTATCGTCTTCGTTGATTACATTGTGCCAAGTTACCAAACGTTTCTTCCCTCCGACTTCAACGGCACAAGCCATTCCTCTTGTTTTGTAGATTATAGGGATGTCTCCAGATGTGTGAACAACTTCCCTTACTGCAAAGATGGCTTTCTTGGGGTTTAGGTTGGGATTCCCAAAAGCCATCGCTTGTTCGACGAATCCTGGCTTTTGCTTCCGTTGAGTAACGGCCATGTGCAACTTATTACAAACTCGCAGAGGTTTGGTGAGACCAAGGTTTGGCTGAATCTCAGCGTGTATACGATGCAATTGCTTCCAGATAAAGCTTCCACCCACTTTTCGATGGACTTACACGGCAGCTTGCGTGCGCATAGCGGAAGTTAGCTGAAGTGGCAGTACTAGTAAAGACTTCCGCTTTTCGGCAGAGGCAGATCGGGAGATAGGGATCGTTCTGTGTTTTCAGCGCGCTTCCGCAGGATCGGCACCGGTAGTAAGATAACGGCGTAATATGTGACTAACACAGTCTATAGACTACGATTTTACGCCACTATCTGCGTCGGTGTATATATGTAAGATTTTAAGCCATTAACTAACGGTGTGAAATCTTACAATACATAACATACCGACTGGAAGAAATTTCTTTCATTCGGTGATATATGTAATGTAAATTTTACGCCAGTAATATAGTTTAATTGCATATTAATTTATTATAATTAATCTACCGACTGAGATAGTGACGTAATATCTTACAGTATATAGACTATGTTAGTCACATTACGCCGTTATATATATTCCCCATCAAGATGTGCCCAATATAAGACTGCAAACCCTGAAGGTTAGTCTTAAGATGTTGATGCCTTACTTCTATGAATCACAAAGCAGTATGTGGAGACGATGATGAGATGTTCGTTACAATGAAAGAAGGTAGTTTAGAATTTGATCTTATTTTACTTTAACTTTGAGGTAAGTTAAGTTCAAGGTGACCCCCAAGCTTTAAATCACTTCAAATATCATTGTCTTTTCTTTCTCTTCGTAGTCACACTGGACACAAGACTTTAAAAAATGTTCCAGTTTTAGGATTGAGTTGCTCTTACTGCAACTTTTGGCAAATTTGTTTTTGGGAGGTTGATGGGGATTTTCCAATGCAAGTCATGGCTCACAGCCTTCTTTAGCCTTTTTGCTCTCCAAGCCTGTTCCACATGGTATGCAGGCATGTGTGTTAACATCGGTTATAATCTTGCCTCAATCATCTCCAATTTTTTCTTATTTTTCTGCTGTGTTTGGGTGGGAATTTTTCAAACTAGCTTTTAGGGCTTGAAGTGCTAACTAGGTAGAACTGATTTATCACATGGTCCCTAAATCCCCTCACCACTGTCAGTTCATTGTTTATTTATTTGCTTTCTAACCAATTCATTTACTTTAAAAAGAAAATTAGGTGGGCTTTGTCTCATGATTTTAAACTGGTGTTGTTTTCTTCATGTTCATGTTTTATTCCCTGAAATGAATGGCATCAGCTCCATTCTGTCTAGTTTATTTCAATAGAATGTTTCTGCCATGGGAAATGAATTTTGAGTTGAAGGGTATCATGAAACTCACAGATTAAAATTATGAAACTTTCGCTGGTTCTTAAAATATGAGAGGAGTGATACAACAAATGGACTGATAATTACTCGATGGGGCTGGAATTCCTTGTTTCTTTGGAATGTTGAATACTATATTTCTGTTGTACTTAAAAACAAATTTCAGGTTAAAATGTCTTCAAACCAGTTTGACTTGCATTTCACTTTGCTAGAAATGTCTTGATCCTTCAATTTTTATTTCATAATTGACACTGATGGTAGGAATTAATTTTAATGTTCTCTGCTGTTTAGGGAGATGTGAAGTGACCCCAATACAAATGGTTGGTACCATTGACAGAATGGATAGGTGTGACATTCACTGTGGCAAGCTGGTATTCAAGAGATTGTCATTAGTACCAGAAGCTTACTACTGATTTAAATTATCAATCTTTTGTTCTCTCCATGCAACTTGCCTAAACTAGCTTATGTTATAGGTATCCATGCCAGTGCTTATTACTGCACAATATGCAATGTCAAAGTCCCCTTTTGACTTAAGTCTCATTGCTCTAAAATCTGATAGGTGTAAATCATCCATTTTCCTACAGAGATCATTAAACCTCTCCACATTAGTTTAATCTGACCTCATTTTGTCTTTTTCTCGGGAAAAAAGGCTTTTGGAAATATTTTGTTTTTCATCCTCACTGTTAATATCAGCCCTACTGGTTCTTTGTTGTTTGTCTCGTGATGAGAGTCTTTTCAGACCGTCACACAACTTATGTAATTTAATAGGTGGGAAAATAAGATTGCAAAGAGCGTAGATGATTTTGTTGTGTAGTTGAAATAATAAATTAATATGATTTTCATTGGGAAATTATTGATTTACCTAACTTTTATATTACAACTGGAAGCCCAAACTAGTACTTTTTTTAATTTACAATTTCCCCACATCATTGATCATATCTGATGATATTTCTGTGACTAACGATTGAAAAGAGTTGTCTTTACTCCCATAAAATCCATAATTATTCCTACATTTCTGACAAGCTCCTTGATGTAACAACCGTATCTGTAGTACTAGCGTTGTCTCACTTTTCTTTACTCGACATCGAACTTATATATTTTGGTAATCGGCCCCGCCGGTTGTGATTCAAAAGTTGAAAATTTGAAACAAAACATGAACCTTCTGTAAACTTTAATTTTTCGCTAAAATTGTATTACATTGCACTAGCAGTACAGTAGAAGCTCTACAAAACGCTCACAGGAAAGTGAATACTTCAAATGATCAATGATAACTTGAGATAGCAATGACACGATAAAAGTATGCTATCCAATACGTTTGTGCTCTTCGACAGGCCTCTTACATCCTTCAGAATTAACGTCATCAACATCGATCGCCCGAACGATCACAAAAGACGACTTGAAATCGTTTGTAAATATGTTGCTTTTTGAAAATCACTTCCTACCACACACCATACTACAATTTTAAGAATGAAGCTTCCATCTAAGTTATAGAGGGAAAAATGATAGGAAAGGTGGTCTCAAATACTCGATCCACTGTTATTTCCTGCTACTTTTCCTCAACGATTATTTAACTGGAAACCGACGCAGGTGCATACCAGCGGTTTCTCGCATATGTGTCTGCTGCGCTTTTCCCATCCCAGCTTTCTCTCCTCAAAGGCTGTACTTCAGCATAATTCACCTGTTTCTATCGGTTCCAAATCGATCATTTCTGGGAGACCAAGCCTTTGCTGTTTTTGCGCTAGTGAGGAAGTCATCATGGTTCCACGTTCATTGTGTATCACGCTTAATGCCATCTTTGCGATCGTTCTGTTGCGTTTTGAGTACGTTCTTGGAACCTGCATAGAACGCGACGAACAATTGCAAAAATATCTTACGTCTTCCACTTCTCCTTTTGACAATTATTTTAACATATCGAAGGCTGTGTATCCTTCTGTGGATCTCCCATCTTTGCTGATCGACATCACGGTGAAATTCCTGAAGACAGCTGGCGAAAAGTCAGACGGAAGTAACAATCTATCAACGATATTGAAAACCGAGTTTACGTGGAGTATGTCGTGCTTGTACGTCAGCGGAGGAATTAGCCTGACCTCCATGAACTTGTTTTCCCTGGGAGCGATTTATCCAAACAGAAGAGGAAGTAAATTGCACATAACACTGCCACAATTTTGCAATAGCTCTACCGTCGACATTCAAGAAAAAATGATATACTTCCTTTCCACGGTAAGTGATCATTCTATACTGTGTAGCGTTTTGTACGGGGCGCCAAACCAGTCATTATTCCCACTGTATTTAACTTTTTACTCTTTATATGGTCAGTTGAACTTTTTATATGGTCGACTCGACTTTTCACAAGATGAACTTTTTACTTTCTGTATGGTCAACTCGACTTTTTATTAGGTCAACTTGTTACTTTTTACATGGTCAGCTTTGTGACTTCTACATTGCATTGCGATTAGACTTGAACAAAATGGCTGCTAACAACGAAGACGTGCTGCACATCCTCTCGGTGTGTGTCATAGCTAAGCAGGCTCTCGAAGCCATCGAAAATCTTCACAATAATAATATTAGAAATGTGGCAACGTTGACAGCTACCAACAGAGCTTCGACTTCCTCTGTCCCATCATTAAGCCCTTCGGTTGCAGCAGAGCTCTCAAGCCGATTTCCAACTTTCAACACATGTGGGGCGACCGCAACTAGAAAACGAACTTCGACGGGTACTTTTACAAGTTCCATGTCCCGAGAAACATTGAAAGTCAACTTCTAAGAGAGGACATTATGCTTGAATACCTCAAGGTAACTAATTTTTTGCTCCTGTTTGATAAGATAAGTAATTAGAAGTAAAACTTGTATTAATATAATTGAAAGTTCATGTACATTTATTGTAAGGCAAAAATTTAAGAAGAACTCGTAGATAAGGTCTAGTTTTTAGTGGCTAACTAAGTTGTGCATTCTCTGGGTGGTGTTGATGAGACCTGCTTCATTTCTGTGATTGTAACTCTATTCTTTGTAGGCTTGTTATGGAACTCTAGTAACTCCTAAACTAGCAAAGGGAGTAAGAATGGATGGTGAGAGAATAGTAAATCTCTCAGGTCAAGGGAGTGTGTACATCAGATGTCTGGAACCCTTTGAGGAGGAAGATAGGGATGAAGATGATGAACAGCTTACGATACCATCCTTTAGTCAATAAGCTGGTGACCTCTCAGAGACCCCTGATAATGCAAGTTCCTCATCATTACAGCATCAAAACAGTGAAGCTGAATCCACAGACCAAGGGGAACTACTTATCTTTAGAGATCCAATGCCCTTCTTGTCAGAAATGGAGAACAATCAGTCCGTTAACAATTATGAAGCTGTAGTTAATGTTAATGGAACATCTCCACCAACTTCACCTTCAAATAATGGTGAAGTGTCATGAGAATTCACAGGTCACTTGTGAGGGCTGATATGCTTGAGGTTTTTTCAGATCCTTCCATTTTGAAGTCCAGTTTAAATGCCATCATTATTCATCCATTAAAGAAGCTGGACAGGGAAATGGGGTCTTGAGGGAAGTTTTCTCCTTGTTTTGGAAAGAATTCTCTAAATCACACATGTTGGGGAAGAGTGAAAGAGTCCCTTATATTAGGCATGATTTTGACTGCAATAAGTGGGAAGCAGTGGTGAGGATACTGGTAAAGGGATACACAGAGAGTCAGTATTTTCCTCATAAAATAAGCAAAGCCTTTCTTGCTGGTTGTCTTTTTGGGAAGGGAAGCATTACTTGTGAATGTTGCAAGATTCCTTCAAGCATTATGTTTCTCCATCTGAAACTAGTCTTACAGAAGGCTGCTGGCCGACAGTATCACATGTGACAATGATGAGATGCTTGACTTTTTGTCAGCCTATGACTGTAAGAGAAAAGTCACACACAGCAATTAAGTAAAAATCATCAGAGAGATTGCTCATGAGGAGATAGTGCAAGAGTCCCAATATGTGAGTGACTGCTGGCAACCAATTCTTGCTCACCTTAAGATTTATTTCCCAGATGTAAAATCATCACATCAATTGTGTTCTTCCATCACACCTAGTAATGTTAGAGTTATTGGCCTACTTGAAGCCAGTCTGGCTACAGCAGCTGTGACAGAAACACTGGCCCAGCTGAAGAGACTCATCAGGGGGCTTGACAAAGCTAAGCTTACCAATTTTTGAGATTTACATCTACATCTGATGTTCTTGTCACAGACAGGTTGAAAATATCATTCACCAACAGTGAAAGTCTACAGAGAAGGCCTATTGCCCACAACTGTAACTACACTTCAGAGGTGCTGAGCACATGTGCTAGCTTTTGCAAGCCCAGAGAAGAATTCAGATAGTTAGGAGATGAATAAAGTGTGAACAAATAGCATAAATATACACCATAAAGTGGTCTCATTAGGGTATATGTGCATCTTGCTAAGCTTCATTTGCTCTCAGGCTATCCAGTTTCGATGTAATTTCATGTAGAATTACATCATTTCAAGAATGGTGTGCTTGCTGATGACACACTCATTTTTACATTTTTAAATTAATTATGTTAGGTTTTGTTGGGTTTCAAACAGTTATTTTATTGTTAGATTTATTAAAATACAATGAGGTCCATGATTATTCAAAGTTCCCTTTTGAAAACATGAAGTGCAATAAAAAGCATTGTGTTTTGTAAAGTTTATAACCTCTATGGTGCTTTGTTAATACTAAATACAAGTTTGAAAGTCAGTTCAGTTGATACATATGTATCCCTGTGAAAAGAAAGAACACAAAATTCTTAAACAACGTATAAGTATGTATCTTCACCAGGGTTGCAATGATTTTCCAGGAATGCCATCTGTTGATCAGAAAGTGGAACACTTGTATCTGGAACTACTTCCTGATAGTCTTCTTCTTCCAGAGCGATAAAGGCAGAGGGGTCAAATCCATAATCATGCCCATTACAAGCATCAAACACACTTGCAACTGCAGCATATCCAGAGTGTTCATTTTCAAGCATTCCATCTGTATATAATTGAATAGGAGAAAGATTTCCTTCAGAAGAAAGTGGATGATTTTCCCACTGGCTCTTAAGTTCCTGTAAGTGCTCATTGATTCGGGATATGAAGGTGTAATGTAATGCAAATAAATGCAACTCATTTGGTGGATCCAGTAGCTCATTATCCTCCAAGCAAGAAAATGTTCTTGCAAGAAAGCAAAGTTCTCCGCATGACCTTTCTACATGACAGTTGTGCACAGAGTACCAGTAACAATGCTACCTCTGTCAACACCTCTCTGCTCAAGCATAAACTCTGCTACTTTGAAATTTTCCATAACATAATCACTTCTCACCCTAGAAGGCAATCCATAACTGTTGACACCTCTTATAAATTGCTCCAGTACTGTATCAGCTTTGCTATTATAGCAGCAGTGGGCATAAATTATAATTCAGGAATATCCATGAACACACATATGAGTTATTGACCACCATGGTATGAGTTTGTGATTGCTGTATATGTGCCAGAGAGCATTTGGTGTAGGAACATTATATTTTCTTCTGTAAATTGTAGACTGCCATCATAAATCTGTTCCAACAGGATCAAAGGTTTGAAGACAGTTTCTCACATGCCTTCATGGAATATTTAGCCCTCTACTTCTCAGAGCGCCCACTAGTTGAGCCAGTTATTTGAGTCCAACTTAACTCTTCTTGGTCAGTCACGCTATACATTAACCTACTCCTTCTGAGAGTACCCTCAGAGTACCCTCAGAAGGAGTAGGTGAATCCATTTTTTTCCAGGAAAAATGTATTTCTCTTAAAAAAACGTATCTGTTCTTCCTCAATGACATAAGGTGGGTGCCCAGGACCATTCCTACTTGAATCAGGTGGGCTGCCATATGTTCTTTCACCAAAAATATCTAACATCTCATTTCTGTATTGCTGCAGCTAATCAATTAAGTTCCTAACCTTAATCAGAGACAGGTTTAGGATGCGGTGAGTAACTGAATGGTCTCTGTAGCAGTCCACAATCTATCAGCTGCCTGATCAACATCCTCAAAGGACAAGTTATTGTTTCTGCCTCTTCGCATGAGGATACTGTCGAAAGCAGTATCTTTAAATTGTCAAAAAATAAAAACAGTCTGTACTCGTTTCGTTCTCTGGAGGGAGTATAAGCAGCCATTTTGTTAGTTTTCGGGCGCAATGCATTCTGGAACGGTTCGAAATTGACTATATAAAAAGTCGATTTAATAATATAAAAAGTCGAGTTGGCCATATAAAAAGTAAAATTTGATCTTATTAAAAGTGAAAAGTTGATCCTAAGCATAAAAACTCGAGTTGATCATATAAAAAGTAAAAAGTTGACCGTATAAAAAGTCGAATTGACCACATTAAAAGTAAACTGGGTCACAGAAATACAGAGGGAATATTGACATGTTTGGCGCCCCATAGTTATGCTTTTTTTTGGTTTAACTTCGTAGTTGAGTTGTAGTGTGTTGTGAAATTTGACGTCAACGACGTAGTGAGACGCTCAAACTCGTAACTTCTATGACACAATTTTTTGAAAGTAGCAATATTGATAGACATCGGGACCTCCGCAGTCTCCAAAAGTCTTTGGAACGTTTACGAAATTTCCCTTGTTTTTAAAAGTTGCCCTCATTATATTTTACCATCATATTGAGAGCGTGATAACTCGTCACAAACTGATTTTTGAGAACATCGAAGTTGCCTTGTTACTTTCATGGTAAACAGTGAATGATTTATTCCACGTATGCTGATTGGCAAGCTCTAAGTCTCTGGCAAGTGACATTTACCTCCGCGCTGAACGAGATGACTTTACTCAAATGCAGTGAAACCAACAAAGGCAAAATATGACGTTTTAATTACTATGCCTTGATATAAGATTTGACAACTTGTGCCTAATCCGTTTCGAGCCTTTCCCGGCTCATGAATTTAATAGAATTCAATACAAATGTCGAGCTCTGGAGCAAACAAATCCTAAAGTATATGTGCATGAATCAAAGACATTTCAATCTTTGTTCAAGTATAATTTCGGACTAAGAAACAAAAATTAAAATATCTCCATCTGTGTCGTGGCTCCGACCAAAAAGACTAAATCAACGCTTAGAGACATATCTCGATCGTGTAATACAGGTATATGTTTTTACAACTTTACTTAGATGGGCTTTGCCTGCCATAGTGAGTAGCAAAGATTGTTTTCGGCAATAACTTAAATTACTTTGACATCGTACAAAATAAAGCCCTGGAAACACGGCGGTCGAACGTCACGCATGCTCAAGTGGATCAATTTTTAGCTGGCCTCACGCCAATTTTCCGCCCAAAGTTTTAATAATTTACCTTTGTCACTCGAACTGTTCGAAAAAAGGAAATGTAGCGTTCAGAGAAATCTGGACTTGGAAACAAAAGTGGAGAAAGGGAAAACTTGAGACTTCTGTAAACCTAATTGAGTTAATTTTTTTTATGTAAAAAAATTACCCTATGTTGGCGTGTAGAGTGGTATGTTGCTCGCACCAATCAGATCGTCGCATTAGGGTATGTGTCTCGCGTTGTGTGACGAGACAAAACAACGGCTGCGAAGGAGACTGCAGTAAGCGTGGCACCGATGCATTTTATATTTGCTCAGAAGTATTAAGACAATATAGAGAATAGACCACAAAGAATAGACCTGTGTGAGTTCAGATAAACTAGGTTTTTTTCTTTTTCTTAAGATGAAGTAGTGCGATATTGTCATTTTTTTGAAGTTATGCTCTTTTTCTGTTACAAAAATGAAAACACTAGGTACACAAAGCGTCCCATCTCGACCCACCCTGTGAAAAAAGTAACTCTTACATGCAAACATGCAAGAGTGTTTAATCACAGGTAAACGTGGATTCTTCCTTTTTTTCGACCCGATCTTGAATGCTATTCGTTTTTACAACACTGTGACGTGCTAACTCGTGTGTTCTGTTAATAACTAAGGTGTGCTATCCATGCAGTTAAATACTTGTGTTTACACTATAACGATTTTCTTTATTGTTTTGTAGTTGCAGGATGTGGCAGTCATCCCATTAGTTTCCGATCCAAGATTGAACACGGTTGAGTGCGTGATCCCAGGGCATGGGAAAGCTCCACAGTTTTCTGGGGTAAAACAATTGTTGCATGGTGTGTGTTGGAGTTTACTGGTTATCAGCCTTGCTATGAGTACTTTGTCATCACAGCTGATAACAGTGAAGCTAAGGTCATGGGGTGACGAAAAGGCTTATCGGAGTAAGACTGCAGCAACTATGCTTCTTTCTTTACTCCTTTTTCTAGGGGGACTTGCCTATAATCTATACATATGCATGTCAGCGACAAAAGTCGGAAATAAACAAGATATCAGCTACATCTGGGTGTTCTTTGGATCTATATTGTTTGTGCTTTTCCGACGCGTATTTTGGTGTATGTATGTACATGAGGGGAAGTGTTTTAGTGAGCGAAACTTAACCGGGGGCCACGGGGAAATGACTACCAAAAACCTTTTTTCTGGCGTTGTACTTTATCCAGCAGTATTCATTGTATGTCATCATCTGCTGTGGATTTTGCTGGGTATGATAACAGAACCATTTTGGGGTTTTACTGTTTTAGTGGCTGTTATTGCTCTTTGTGCCGTGCTTTTCTTCTCACTTTCGGAGCTGCATTGTGCTTTTCCTGAAAATCTTATTTCCTGTAAAAACTGGAAAGAAAAATTTATATTTTTCATGTCTCTCTTTTTGATCCTAACCGTCCTTTCTGCATTTGTGTTGTTTGTGGTAGTTCTGTTTGTGGTTGCACAGGTTTTTCTTAGCGAGAGTTTGATTTCGACATTGATTCAGAATACTTTGACGTTTGTTGTTACTGTATGGTTTGGGTATATGAATATTCTTAAGGAATCAAATAAGGGAGATAAAGGAGGAGGTAATGAAGGAACTGCAGGAGAGGAGGAAGTAGCCTTGCAGGAACAGAGTGAAATACATCTTGAAATAGTATAAAATCCCATGCAAACTAGCATCCTTTCCTACTCGCTTTATACTTCAGAAACTGATGATAGTCACAGGTAGTTAGCCTCCCTCAACTCCACTTAATTTTTATATAATATTTTTATATTCTGAAGAACCGTTGTTTTATCGCTTAATTATGGCTGTAAAACTGTGGATCAATCACCGTAGAATCACTTTCGGTTTATTTCAAGTCTATTATATATAAGTCATAATATTGTGATTCATGAATTGTCTTAGGTTTGAGATTGTAACTGTAATCAATTTTTGTACCCACAATTAAAGAAAGATGAATGAAAACAAGAACCTATTTTATCATCAGTCGCCTGCCGTACTAGAACGGTTTGTTTACAAATATTGTTTTTTAGTAAACACTAAAACAGTGGATAGCCCTGAAGGTGCACTGTTATTGGCTGTTTAAAATCCGAATATCCTTTGCTATTCATCTTCGAGTAACTTGCGCGGGATTTGCGCCCGAAAATATTCTAATCGTTGAGGGAATAAAAGAGTTTAAATCGTCTTTTGTGGTATGTTATGTAGCGTCCGCGGCTAGGGGTGAATACTTACGTTACCGCTTCGCGGCTCGGTAAATATCCACCACTAGCCACCACGGCTAATAGTTGTCAAATGTACGGTGTTACGGGTAAGCTTCAACCACTTCCCAATAAAGTCAGAACCATTATCAGGATTTCTTTTCAAAAAAGCTTTTTTTCTTTAATTCATACGCTTGATCAAATTTTATTATGGAGAAGTCGAGTGGAGATGGAACACTAATGAACTGAAGAAATCACAAACCAACGTAAATGTTTGGACCGCAGTACAATGCTTGTTTTGATTTGTCTCGTATTGACATATTCAGAAGTGTTTCGATGTGGTTCATGTTATCGAGGGTGTAAACATAAGGAGAATGATCTGAAGGGGAGCGAAAATTGCTTCGAGTTATGGAGGGTTTTAGTTACCGAGGGTAAATTTGCAGTAAAATGTATGACAGAAATCCAGGGGAAATCGATTTTGGTTCGAGTTAGCGTAGGCGTGGGGGTCGAGTTAGCCCCGCAATCGGAAATCGAACTCAATCGAACGAGTTCGGCAATCGAATGAAATCGAACACCGAACTTTGTGTGAGTTCGATTTCCGAACCGATCGAACTCAATCGAATAAATCGAACCCAATCGAACTCAATCCGTTAGATTGAGATCCATTATTTCGACAACCGAACCAAATGGATTGCGTTCGATTATGTTCGGTGAGTAAACTCGCTCTAACAAATCTCGTATGTCATGCAGGCTGATACGGTATCCAAGCTCTGGTAAACCTTTATACGTGTAACGCAAGCGCATTGGAAAGAGGCTTTCCTAGTCCTCTTTTTCAATGATTATTCATAACAAAAAAGTCCACGGCAGTAAAAGGAACAGAATAGAACAAAGCTACGGATTGAGTTCGATTGAGTTCGATTGAAATTCAGTTCGATTTCGATCGATTGCGTTCGATTTACTATGCCGGGAGAGATTCGACTATAATTTCATTCTTAAGCGATGTCTGGAAGAAATTTTTGTTTGGGATACCTTACGTTCTTTTTTCTCACACGGTTTTTCATTCGATACATTATCCTTAGAACACGAGTGATGTTACGACTTTCGGTGTTCGGAATTACAGAATCTTATGCACAAGTTCATATTATGGAGTACTTTTTTCTCTTTCTCGCATACGTCGCAAATTAAATTTAGAACGTCCTTTCAGGACCAGTAAGTCTGTACACAAGGAACCAGTGTAGCTATGACCTTATCCAAATGAAATTTTGTTTTTAGAAATTGTGATTTAAAAGGTGCCAGTTTTAAAAATCATCGATGGAAAAAAAATTTAAGACAAGTGAGCTGGAGTTAAAAGAGAGCTTCAACACCCGGCTAGTATCAATAGGGGCCTTAAGGAAACCACGATGGCGACAGCAACGAGGACATGGAAAAACAAAAGATCTAAGGGCCTGTTTACATGGAGGTGGGGGACCCCAGGTAAGTGAGGTAACCCACCTATCTGTGGTATTAGGGACCTTAGGCAGTCAGGACGGCACCCGCTTAAGTATTTTGTTTTTGGCGGGCACGACGGGACTCGTTCCAGTCTTACTCTTCCAGTGCCGTCGCCGTCCAGCTTCCCGTCTTGGTATCTTAAGGTCCCTACATTGAAAATACGTAACGTTTCTTTAATAGTATCAAGCTCGTTAGATGCACTAATAAGAGGAAGACTGGATTGGAGAGCGGTTTATGCAAAACAAGACTTACAGTTTTGGGATGGAAAGCAGCAATTGAAATATGGAAATAGGTGTACATAGATGAAATAATAAGGAGGGAAATCTGAGAATTCCTCACTTCTCAACGTACAGGTTTAAAGATCTTTGCATGCACTTGTTTCATGCTCTCTCTCATCCTTCTCTTCCTTTGTATTTCATTAGCTTTTTATTATTTTCATACTGTCTTGTATTTTTGGAAGAGAACATTTTTATCAATATCTTAGATCGGTCTAAACCTTTTCGGGTGCTTCTTTTCCCATCTAATGAATGAATCAAAGCTTTGGAATAGTAGTAACTGAATCTACAAATAATGAAGTCCGCCGAGTTACTCTCGATCCTAGAGCTCACCAGAGTCAAGTCCGGATCGAACAGATTTTTCCTTGTTATTTTCGCAATAAAAACCGTTAAGCATTCGATTTTAACCCTTTTCCTTTAAGAATTGTGTATTTCCTCTGTTAATTTTCAATTTCGGAGTTCTGGCAGACCTGCAGAGAAACAACGAAAGTCATGCTCACGCATTCATCCGACATTCGTTCCGTGAGTTGAAGTTTGGGGCCAGTCTGAAGAACTTTTCCCCGCACGTGGTGAATACGCATGCTCAGGTATGATGGTGGAAAAACATGGCCGATGATGAAGATGACGATCCGGTCGTGGCAGAGGTTTGTTAGGTTATCATTGGAGATAGAAATGCACCAGTTACGTTGGAAGGTTATCATTTGAGACAAAATCTCTGTATACATCCACAGGTGGACGTTTATCTGGCCCAGACTTTGGCCAACAACCTCTACTTGTTTCAGGTACTACTTATTCTTCTCAAACATAACGAATCTTTCCGTATATTTGACATGAGCAAAGGATTGTCAACTTTGAGTATAATATTTGAGAGAAAGTTGTATTAGCGACAAACGGTTCACACAGTTCGACTTTAATTTCCGAAAGGGCTTATGTTGACTTCGAAAATTTAAGTTAACTTTGAGAGCTGCACTGGTTTGACAGATGTGCTTAAATTTCCACCTTGCAGTAAAACTGACATTTTTGTATTATCCACTTCTTGTTAAGTGTGGCCCTACTGTTCTCAAGCTTCCATATTTTGCCTATGCAATGCTTCCAAATATTTGCCTCAACGAGTAACTTGCCACAGGATATGACAATTCCTAGGTTTTGATTCGCGTGCTGACCTTTGTGCTCTTCAGAAAATTACTCTTGTGCATGCTGTTTCAGAGAAGTCGTGAAAATATGTAAATTTCTGAATAGTTTATAAGATGTGTAATCTCTTTAAAAACAAGTGGACAAGCTTTCAAAGATATAGGCCCATACATTATAAGTCTAGGGGAAAGGGGAAACCAATGTATATGAGGCCTTTTCAAATTTTTTTGCAACCTTTTTCTATTGTTTGCATGTTTATAAGTGTTTGGGCCCAGTGTAAAATTGAAAGTTCTTACAGCCCAAGAAAACAAAAGTCTCACAACTTGATTCTGAAGGCTCATAGTAAATTTATGTCAAGGCTTTTATCTCACTTGCAATGGATTCAAGTGTTACTCTTCATTATATTATAGGTTTGAGACTGATTGAGATTTTTTTCTTTTCATGGTTGAATAACAACAATCTGACTCAACATGTTTGTTTTGCAGTATCCAGTCCGTCCAGCTGATATTACTTATGATAATATCCCTCATATTGGAGCAAGAATCAAACCAGACCAGCAAAAGGTGAGTGAGAAAGTAGAGTAAAATTATTGAGCTGAAAGTCTAAAACTTAGAATAGAATTCTGGCTAGCTCAGGTTATAGAGCAGACTGCATGCAAGAGGTCAAAGGTTTGAGCCCTAGGAGGAGACCAATTGTGTAGTCTGTTTCTCTGAGGAGATGCAGTGTATCTCTCTGTTGTATTGTTTCCTGTCCAAGAATTGCTTCTATTGTGTGTCCTTAATGAATAACAGACAGTCTTGGATAGAGAGATGGATGTCTTTTGAAAGTACATGGATGTACCTGTTATACCTTAATTGCAAAATTTATAAATTATCTACTAATATACTTTTGTCCCGGATTTTCAACTGTGAGTTTAGGTTGAACTCGAGCTGTCAATAAACACAAGTAGTGATAACTATTATGCACCCAGAGGAGAACAAATCGCACATGATGTGGATGGCTCTGCTTTGTCATCTGTCTCTGAAGGAAAAGAATCATTTTTTTCCAGGTACTAACATCTCCAAATTCCTTTTGAAAATTGACCATAGTATGTCTATTAACAGAACTTTTAAAGCAATACTGGTTAATGTAAAATTTGATACTCATTCTGTACAATTTATCACTTTTTCATTTTTTTTCCAAAGAGAATTTGATTAGCTGTCAAGCTCCTTTCATTATATTCCCTTGTGCTGAGCCAAGCTGGTAAACATTTTTCTTTTGGTCAGGTATAAGCCAGTAAACAACTGCAGGATTTTGAAATGCCCTAGTTGTTCCATAGGAATACCTTTTTTTCATAATGAAGTGTATGTTGTTTTTTTTTCCTCACTCTTATTAGTGATAAGATGGATAAGCAAGTGCTTTCTTCATCAAGAGCTGCAGAGGATGTGAGTCGATATTCTGTGGGCATTCTCAAAGGAGGTACCTAAGTAGAAAGTATTTCCTTGCTTAGTTATGAGGAAATAGTTATTGCCATAGTTGGCAGATGTACATATAATAGAGCTTGAAAATCAAAAGACTTACTGTAAACACTGGTATCTAAACTGTGCCTTTTCCCAAAATTTTTTTAACAAATCAGGGTTGCAGGTTCTTTATGACTGTCTGGAAAAATATGTTGCAAATTTGCATAGATATGAACTGCTGGTACTCATCAGAAATGTACAAATCTGTTGTAAACCAACAAGAACTTTATAAAAATATACTAGGATAGAAATATTGTTTTGTCAGTTTGGTAGCTTCTTTAAGAGCCATATCTGTTCTTAAGTGCAAGCTTATATTCCAAATCTTCTTCATTAAGAGACTGTTTTATTGGTTTAAGGTCACCTAAACTTCTTTGAGCAGCTTTAAACTTTACTAGACAAAGAACCCTGCTGTATATTACTCTGATGAAATTTATTGTTCTAAAAGCTACTTGTGTCCCCTTTCTTCCAAACAAATGCCTGGCTGCTAAGCTACAAGCAACCCAACCAACAAACTTAAGATTTCCTGTTGTTTTATGTGAATTCTGTTGAAAATCTGACAGGAATGAGAAAAACAAAAAACTGGTTGAAGAATACCAGAGTAAGTTCAAAGATAAGTCTTTGATGTCTGTTCTATTACTAACAGCTGAAACTATGAGTAAGGATTCAAAGTATTGTAGTATTCATATGTCCAACAAAGCAACCAAAATAAAGCAACTTTCTTTAAGACTCTACTTGTGATATCTTTTGGTTTGCTTTCAAAAAACTTTTTTTTCCAAAATTTGAGTTAAAAAAACTCAAGGTGTGGCTTATCTGCAAGTGCATCCTATACACCAGTGTTTACAGTACTTAAACACAAGGCACTGCTAACAAAGTTTTATACTTGATTTTTGTTGGGTTATCTAACAAACTCTTTCCATTTTGATTGCCTGACTTTTTATTTATTCAGTTATGGAGAATTTCTCCTGTTACATTAAACTTTTCTTCTGCTACTACATTTCTTGGTAAAAACCCCAAAGTAGGATTTGAAAGGTCAATAATTATACTATGTTAACAATAGCAAACATTTTGCCAAACAATATGCTTTTTGGGATATCAGAAACATCTGTTCCTGCATGAAGACCTAATGTGAGAGCCTTGTACAAGGCAGGTTGAATTCTCTTCAACCATGGAATGATCGTCAAGAAAGCATAAACTATGCACAAATTACCACTTGCCCCGTCACACTACCTATGAACAGTGCAATGAAATTCAGAAAACCACAACTTTAAAGGATGTTTATGGTTTGTCTGACTACTTATGAGAGAAGTTTATAATGTAAAATTTATTGAACTTTACAGGAGAGTTGCACCTGACACCTGTACATGGTGTATTACAGCTCAGGCCAAGTTTTGAATACCTTAACAAGGGTGAAGCAAATGTGAATCAGGCTTCCAATCCTACAGATGAAGGTAACCCACAGAGCAATTAAATAATTTACACATAATTGATTTCATTTGTGGTTTTCAGTCAGAGTTTTCTCTTATAATTCATATTTTTTCTTGGATAAAAATTTGTCACACTAGTTTAATTTTTTTTGTTTTTGTCTTTAATTGATTATCATTTTGTGAAGTAAAGGAAGGAAATAATGAATTAGTTTGAAATGCCATTTTGCTAAGAATTTGGAACACAATAATTTTTATAATTTCATCATTACCTTTTAGGATACTTCCTAATTAAATATAACAACTTTATTACTGTAGCTGGGATTACTATGTGTGATAAAATGCCTCTTTTTTCATCAGGAGATTCGCAAGATGAGGAAGAGGAGGCAAAACCACTCACTGTTAGTGATGCTAGCCCTCATACATGTACATGTATTATTAATATTACATTTAGTCTCATATAATCCTTGGTCATTAGCATCTTTAGGATTTTCTTTTAGCACTATCATGTGACATGACAATTTTGCAGTAGTGTTTTTTTATGCATCTTTGATGTCTTGAGATGGACTACTCCTTCCACTGCTTACTCTTCAGAAATCAAGGTTATATTTCATCAGAAGAAGTTTATAGGACCAAAGAGAATCTGTAAAAACGAGGGGACCTCAAGGGCTGTGACAGTTTCTGTTCCAGCTTTCATGAGAGATTTATTTGTTATTCTCAAGAAGCTAGTTGAGTTTTTCTTGGTAGTGCTTTGTGCAACTCTTAAGCCCATCTCAAACATTCCACATGCATCACTAACTTAATTTAATCAAGTGTAACAAGAACCAATACTTAAAAATATGGGTATGCAATATTCAGAAAATAACTATATGTTATTTGTAGCTTCTTAAACAATTTTGAAAATGTCCTGCCCCAATAATTTTCCAGGTCAAGTTTGCACGCCCTGAAACAGAGCGGGCAAAGGCTCAGCGGCTGTCATCTTTTAAATACTTGGAGCAAAAGAAAGCAGAAGAACCCTGGAAAACCATGGAATTTTATCATCCTCAGGTACTGTTTTGTGATTGCATAATTTTAATACATGACAGCTAGAGTGAACTCTAGTGAGCAAGGTCCCACTAACTTTTGTTTATAGCAGCCATAGGAGCAACAGTGGAACCTGAAAGATTCCTTAAAGGGAGTGTGGGTTACAATGATGGAGGTTTCACATCAACTTGACTCTGATGATAACTTTTCCTTGGCTTGCTAATATTTCAGTTGCTATCATTGACACCATTTTTGTTCACGACTATTCACATCAGAATGATCAAACTACACCCTCAAAATACATATATTTATGTTCACCATTTGCTGTTCTTTTATTTCTGTTTCCTTTTTTCCTTCTAGAATGATATTGCTGGTGTAGAACATAGTTTGTTATTTTGTCGAGAAATGGAATCAGAGTCACCAGAGTTCAACCTCCATCCAAGGTATTTTTAATTAAATTACTGTGACTTTATGAAAAACATTTATTTTTTTCTCAGAGGGCATGTTAATGAATCCTGCAATCTGTTTGGTTCTTAGTGCAGTCTTATCTCTGCCCACAGGCTCAGGAATGCTTTTTTGAGTCGCTAAGTACATCCCTAGCTTTGATGCCATTTTTCAAACATACATTTGAATTTTAATTACAATTACTTCCCTTGCAATTTACTTACTGAGCTGAGGTATTCTTTTTACATCGATCATTGATGGAAGGGAATGATACTTTCTGTACGATCGTAGAGTGTTTGTTAAGAAAAAGTTTCTGTGACAGTCATTGAACTTGAGTTTGTTTGCCAAACTGGTGCTGTTGTTTTTTCAAAAGTGTACATAATTAGGCTTTTTTACACACTCTCTACTTGACAGGTGTCAGATTATGACAGAGTCCAGTAAAACAAATGTTTCAAAGTTTGTTTTGAAGCCTTTTAAATCACATTTACAATTACTAGCTACCAATTGGCTTGTCAGCTCAGTTACTAGCTCCCAATTGGCTTGTCAGCTCAGTTGGTGGAGCACTGCTATAGTATTTTCAACATCATGGGTTCAACTCTTACATAGGCCTGAATTTTTTTTCAGGTTTTATTTTCACTACTGCTAAAGCAGTGTTCATTACTGCAAAGATTACTGTCATATTCATGTGTTGTAAATAATATTATCATCAATAATAGATTTTTCTGGCATTCACCAAGATATGTTGGATTGAAGGAAAACCCACAACAAAACAGAACAAAGTGAAGACATTACTAAACATGCAGGGTTAATGTCATTATGGAGTAAAATAATTGATAGCTTGTATTACTAATTGCACAAGTGTCAGTTGGAGAGTGCTGAATTGACAAATGGAAACAGTCCCAAGAGTTAGATTTGATCTTCTCCCTTCAGATTTAGAAATTAGGTGTACCTTAACTGTGCAAAAAAATTTGCCTTTTTTTGAGCGATCTGATCAGCAACACTCGCATCTTACAGCCTCTAATTGTTGATTGAGGTATCATGAATATGGTGGATTAAGAAGTCATGAAATGAAGAAAGTGAATAACAACAGGAAGCCTTTGCAACTGAAAAGTTGATAGTAAACTGTTATGCATCTTTCCACCACCCGACAGTGAATTATTTGGATCCCAATTGGGATTTCTTATATACCAGAAATTTGTCACTCTATGATGTTTTTTTGTTTTCCTTTGTCAGCTGTGTGATTGCATGTTATGGCAAACAAGGGACATTCAGTGTGTGCAAAGTAGTGAATGCTTTATGGTCTGAGGTCATCACTATCATGTGTGGCAATGTTAGTTGTATTTTTGAATATTAAACCTTGTTTTTGTGTTTCTCACAATTGTCATTTTTTAAATAGGGATTACTTGAAGTTATTGACTCCATCTACTTCTCAGGAAGAAAGGTATTGAGCTTCTTATTTTTGTTTTTGTTCCTTGCTTAATCAGGTCCAGTGTAAAGGTGAAACTCAGCGGAGTTTTAAAATTTGTTTCAGCCACATGATTTCTGCTGAGGACATGAATGTGTTCACATTTTAGGCCAATTTTATCTTTCATTTTGTACCACCAATGGGTGGAAAGACTTCATAGTCAGCAGTTTTTTGATTAGATTTGCTGTAATTTCCCAACTGACTGTTGATAATTTTTCAGTTCCAAGCCACCTGTACCCAGTAATGTGTTATCCATGACACAGCTCAAGACTATGGACTTGGCAGATCAAGTCAGGGCTCTTCTTATCAAGGGTGAGTTCTTTAACTTGCTTTTTGTGTATCAATTGGATATACAATCAAATTTCTCAAAAACTTATACAACAACAGAGTGTACCAAGACCAAGATAGGAATGGAAGGATCCTGTGGTGGTCAATGCTTATCATTCTGTTTGCAAAGTGGGAAGATGTACCAGTAATGGTTTCTTTAGATTTTTATTTACTCTCTTTATTCTTATGTGTTATTCTGTCCATCTCCAGCCAAAGTGATCAGTTTCTCACAGCTCTGCAGACTCTTGTCCCCAGCAGCAAAGGAAGCATCAGTATTGAAATGCTTACAGCAATATGCTGTCCTGGTGCAGGGTTGCTGGGTAGTGAAAAGGTAAGAGCCTTTTTGCTGGAACCTTCTCTTTGGTACATTTAAGTATACACAATATGGCAGCTTATTTTTCAACAGTATTTCAACTGAAAATATTCTTAGTTGTGGTGACTTGGCAGTGGGTAATGTGTTTTTTTTTTTCTGAGAGTGAGTTGTTGTATCCAGAGGGAACCATCAGTCCTAGTGGTGGAATTGCTGCTGATATTTTATGCAAAGGAAGAGACTATTTAGTAAGTTCAGGAATTTTTGTTTGGTTATGAGATTTTTTACCTCAAGACAAAATTGTTTTTTTTCTATTGCATTACAATACCATTCAAATGATATCTTTGAAGGGAATGGGCTCAACTTGAAGCAATTATTTTCAACTGCAAAAATTTCACAACCTTTAGAAATTGCTTACAGTCATGAACAAGGAAGAGGAGGAGGTATATATTAAGAGAATTTCTGCTAGCTTTTGGATGGACCTTGCTTCCCCTAACAAGAGCTTCATGTAACAGGTAGTTGTGCTTGGAAAGGGGCTGCAAGACAAAACCCAAACACGGGAGCCTCCTTTAAAGCTAAATAGACTGCTGTAAGAGGATTTGTAGGTGGAGGTAGACTGGTGGTAAGCGGCTCTTAAAGAAACACCCATGGTTGTAGAAGTTACCTTGATTTATTTATCAGCACATCAGTCCTCATGTATGTAGAGACTGGTTTGACCTGCCTTAGAGGTGATTCTCACTTTTGCTATTTCAATTTGCTTATTGGCTTCATTTTTATACAATTTCTTTGTAGATGTGGAGATTTACCCAGAGCAGAGTAGTTGTACGAAAAGATATCAAATCAGTTACAAAGGTCAGATTTGACTTCATGTACAGTACTCCCTGCCTCCTGCATCAATAATAATTTAACCCCCCTAAAAGAATCCAGTATCTAATTTCTCCTTCCAATATTGCCCCTGAATCAAACATTTAGGTCACAAGAATAAAGGAAACGATCACTTATTTTAAGAAGCTCTTGTTTGTTCAACAAATTCTCTTCGTCAGTACTTTTGGAAATGTATAGAGAACAGTTTGGAGAATATGCATACTGATGTTGGGTGTAAAGGGTTGAAATGATCCCCACATTTGTTACACTTTATGATTTTATAGTCATTTTACGTACTTGTCTTGTTTTATTGACAAGAAATAATTTGTTGTAAAAATTAGCCTAAAGCAAACAGTACATGCAGAGCCGATTGAAAGCAACACTTTTCATGTCTATGAGGACAGAATGTGTCATTTCTCTGGTGACGAAGAGGCACATTTAGTAGCATCTTCTGAAAGTCTATGGTGTAGACGTCATAATTAGCTGTACAATTACTTTTTAACAATCAGCAATTCTTGTCTTTTTCAGTTACCGAGTGAGGACATCAAAGAAATGCTAGATCAGGTGAGCTGACATAATCAATTGCAAGGATTTATCAAAGATGTAATATGTATCAATATAAATATTATCAATTCATTCATTGATTGTACGCGCAAGACTAAGAGAAAACTCTTAAATCCCGCTCTGCAAAGAATTACGGCTGCAACCACCTGTTCAGCAGCTATGATCTCACACTGAGCTCATTAGAAGAACTTCATGGACAAACAGGACAAGCATTTTAGCATTGTTTATATGAATTAAATGAAGACCGTATCCTTTGGATGACAATTTTTTTCTCATTAATCGTTTACCAGATAATATGGACAGGTTCGATAATACCCTTTCGGAATTAGCCTCTATCTCATATACAGGAGAAAATTGGGATCTCTTCTATATACGTGTACGCTATTTTTGATCATATTCCTTTACGGGGAGAAAAGAAGTCATTCGCATTTTTCACGCCCTCGATATGTGGCTTCGTGGCTTAGTAGGTAGTAGCACTCAACCACTTTCTGAGAGGCGTGGGTTCAATCCCCGTTCAAGCCTGAATTTTTGCAAATTTCTTTTACTGCGATAATTTTAATGTCAGTAGGTCACCTTCGACAGTTACGAGTGCTCAAGAATGATGCTGGTGTTTTTAATCAGCCTTGAGTTGCATGTGTACTCACAGGACTAGAAGTCTGCACTCCTACTCAGTATTATTAACTATTTCAGTAACAAACTTTCTCGTTTTCATTGTTACCTAGATGTCGCGAATGAAAGTAACTATAGGCTGGGAGTTTGTGCTGCCATATGATATAGAGTTTGTTCAAAAGTAAGTATAACGTCCAATTTCGCTCAGACTAAGGGCTTAACGCTCGAAACTACAGTTCAAAGTCGGCGACACATCTGGCGATTTCATACGCCGATCTCGGCGATCGGGCGAAAATCGCCATGTGTGCCCGGTGCGGCGATGGCGATTTTCGCCGATCACCGCGATAGACGTATAAAATCGCCGATATCTGATAAGCCTGATATTGGCGATTTTATACGCCGATTGGAATCGGCGAATAAAATTTGCCAGGTGTGACACCGGCTTAAGAAACTCTTTACGGTGGCCAATTTACTTCATCAACTCAGTTGGTAAAACCAATTTAACTTGTAATATCCTAGTGAATGACTCATACCAAGAGATATCAAGAGAAATGAACGGTCCGCCGATTATTTTATCCTGGAGAAGCGTATGAAACTTTGTAGAGATTAGATATTCTCCCAACTGTGGCTTTAAGTACAATTCTTTGCCTTTATCGTCCTTGAACCCTCATTTTGTTTTACTGTTCATTATCAATCGATGAGATCAGTTCTTTATTTGTTTATTTATTTATCGGTAGGCACCCTGATGTTTACAAACAACAGCTGACCATGTGGGAAGCCAAGTATCAAGTGTAAGTATATTTTCTTTTCCTTCTTATCGATAGAAAGTTAACCCTTTGCCCCGTCGAGGTAACTAGTATGTAATTTCTCCTCACAATATCGTCCCTGAATCACATAGTGAGGTCATGAGAAAAAAGGAAAATGATCACTAAGTAAAAAAGCTCTTGATTTTTCGACAAATTCTCCTCCTCAACACCTTAGGAAATTTATTGAGAACAGTATGGAGAATGTGCATACTGATGTTAGGATGTAAACGGCTAAGTCAACCGGAGCTAGTTCCGATCTCTAAAGCGACAAAAAGGGTTGTTACTCCCCCTACATGGACTCCTTGTCCAGAGCAGGTTACTCAATCCTCTCTATCGAATTTATCTGGTTTCCTCAGTTGTGCTGCGCTGGTAACCTTTTGTTTTCTCTGGAGGCGAGAGACTTTGAGAGTGAAGTGTTTTACCAAAGAACACAGTAACCTTGTAATGTATCGGTCTTGGATAGAACCGCTGTAACTATTAGTGTACTGCCCATTATTTGGGATCACTTTGTGATAAAGGTGACTGTCCTCAGGTTCACTGTAGTGGGGAGTTTCTTAACTTTTTCCCTAAGCGCTTGCCGAGAGTGTAATTGGCGGCTGTGCCCCGAAAAGGGACCTTTAACCCCTAAGAGTGATTCGCATCTAATTTCTCCTCACAATATCATCCCTGAATCACACATTAAGGTCACAAAAATAAAGAAAATAATCACCATCCAAAGAAGCTCTTGATTGTTAAACAAATTCTCCCTCTCAATACTAGGAAATACATAGAGAATAGTGTGGAGAATATGCAAGCTGATGTTAGGGTGTAAACGGAAAGAGGTCTAAGAGGCGGCAGTAGACCTTCAGTAACCAGCTGTTATTAGCCCCTGCTACAGGAGATTGCAATACATTCCTCATCAACTTAATTATGTGCACTCTTAGCACCGACTGAAGTGTCTGATCGACGGAGGTGCCCCGTTAAGAGACAGTCTAGTGTAACAGGCGACGTTATTAAGACGTTACAGACGTTAAACTATCAGATCAAATGAATTAAAAGAACGTTTTTATGCTTTTCGACTTGACCGTGGGACTACGAAAAAATCTGAGGCCCACTTAAGGAGTCGTACCGCAGACTTTCGGACTTCGCAATTCGACGTTCCAATGAGTATCAGAGAGTTACAACCGAGTTCTCTGTTGCTCAGTGGTCGGGCACCGCGCCGCAAAATCCAAAAGTCTGGGGTTCAATTCCTCGGCGGTAACTCTGAACTTTTTTCTTCGTCTTACGCTTGTGAAAAGAACGAAGAACGTCTTTGTATATTCGATGACCGAGCGGGGAAAAAAATGATCTTTCTCAACTTTTCTTCTAAGTCTTCAAAAACAACTGAATGTTCCAAAACAAGACAAGCTTGGAATAGATCTTAAGAAGATAAACACTGGTGAGTTATCTAATTTCGTCGAGTCCGTGTGCTTGTTATAATGTTACGTCAGTATTACGTGATTGTTTCACGCTTGCTGCGTGTCTTGTATGATTGTTACGTTTGTGTTACATGATTGTCCCACGCTTGGTATCTGTATGTTTTGATTGTTACGTTAGGCTTACGTGATTGTCTGAGGCATGATGTGTGTCTGTTTTGATTGCCACGTAAGTATTCTTTTGTTTTTGTTTCAAGCTTGCCGCCTGTCTGTTATGATTGTTACATCAGTGTTACGTGATTGTCTCGCGCTTGATGCGTGTTTGTTGTAACTGTTACGACAGTGTTACGTGATTGTCCTACGCTGTTTTGATTTTTACGTTGGTATTCAATTTTTCGTCTCGCGTGTGCCTCGTGTTTTTTTCAAGTGTCAAGTTGATATTACGTTATTGTCTTGCTTTTCCTTTCCGTCTTTTATAGATTCCTGTCCCAGCATAGGAAACAAAAGGGTTTCTAAGCCTTCCAAATCCAAGTCGAATCATGTGATGAACCACAACACATCGCAGGATGGATCCACTGAGGAGGAACACTTACCAATGGAAATTGACTGTAAAGAAGTCGCTAGTAATAATATGAATCATGAACTGCGTAAGGAACCTCTGGCGACAAATGATACACATGTTCAGGATTTGCTCAAAATCTTACAGGACTTTGTTCGTGAGAAACTGCACAGAACAGTTTTAAGTTTAGCCGATTTTAAAAGGCTGTTGCTTCTCCGGCAAACTGGTGAGTGAAGTAATTAGTCATTCGTTAGGGGAGAGTGGTTTACCTCCCCCCGCCCCCCGTCGTGTCTTACGGGAATGTGAAATTGAGCATTGAATTTTTTCAGTGGTACAGCAGTGCTGGTCGAAAGGATTTTATCGTATAGCGGGTTTTGATTTGAACAGATTTTTACGATTAGTTCTTGTAACAAAAAAAAAATCAGATCTAGAGAAAATTTATCACAGTAAGGTCGATTAAGAAATGAGAACAATTCCCGGGAGAGTAGGCAAGTAGTAGGTATTTAGACCCCCTATGATTTCTAAAGTATTCAGCAAAATGCTTTTAAGGAGAGAGTTGTAACTGACAGCTAACAAAAGACGAAAATATTACTTTAACTTAAGGTTTGAATGCTCTACAAGAATGAACAGAGAAAGTCAAGAATTAGTTTTAGTAGAGATTTTAGCCATTTCGAGCGGCAAAACTTTTATTTTCTCGTCACCAATCTCTAAAAGACTTCTTTAAATTTTTCAAGCTGCCTGATGTGTGACTTGAATGCCTGACTGCACGCCAAGCACTCAACTTTACATGCACAAATTGAACTGAAGTAGCATTAGACTAGTCTTAAATGTAACAAAAATAGTGACATCGATATCCTCGTTCTTGTAAAGCAATATTGAGGCCCCGTTATGATTAATTTTTTTGTGTGTGATCGGATGAAACTGAGTGAGAGATAAAAAGAGTCCTGACGGTGCGAAAATATCAAATAAATTACTGAAAAAAAAATACTGATAGGATGCGGTCTATGGCGTGAGGGCCAACAAATTATTTTCTCTTTGAACCTAATGTTAATCTTTTTTGTTAGCAAGCAGCCCAGGAGATCCACTATGTTCAGGAGTGCCCGACGTGCTCCTGGAAAAGGCGATCCTCGGTACAGGAGCGACAGAAATAGATTTCAAGGTGAGTACGAAACCATTCTGATCATTTCTCGGAATTTGGCAGGATGTACTTTTATTCTTATAAAAACAATGCGGAGAAAATTGTTCGCGTCTTTGTTTGTAAGCATTTAGAGCATTTTTTTCATTACAGTGGCCCACAGAAGCGCTGTCAGGCGATATACAGTCACGCAGACTATTTTCTTTCAGAAGCACAGGTGACTCGGCAGATGAGGTGAGGCTTTCCACAAAAGAGGTTATATTGGAGCTTTCAATTTGACAAATATCTTTTGCAGTAATGTGTTTGACTACTCTCTCCCTCAAAGAAACTAACTTTAATGAAAAAAGGTGCAAGAACGTCCTGAGACTTATTACAAAGCTTGGTTGTCCCTAATCCTCTACACTCTAAAATCAGTATGCTTATTCTCCATACTGATCTCAATACATTTCCTCTGGTGCTGAAAAGGAGAAATTGCTTGATAATGAAGAACTTCCCTAGTTGGGGATCAATTCCCTTCATGCTCTTGACCTTAATGTGTGACTCGGGTGATATTTTAGGGAAATTAGATGCTTGTCACTCTTAAGGTTTAAAGGGCTGATGAAGGTAGTTAGTATATTTATACCACTGTGTCTTATGTGAAAAGCCCAAATCACCTCGCTTTGTATGCTTATCGTTGGCATTTATGCTTTAGTATCGAGCTCTGCTACTGGACATGTTCAGCAAATCCTGGGTCTTGACCAGGAAAGAATTTAACGCCAGGGCCACGGAGCAGGTTGGGGCCGTGCCTGGAAGAAAGGAGTGGATGACAATCCAGCAGGTAAATGAATGTGAAGATTCTGTTGGTAACTTGAAGGCTTATCAGTCACTTAAGCCTTATGGCACGTAAAATTCTCGAGCCACGCGTGCGAAACATAAACTGAATAGTGCGCACTCAAAATAAGGTATATTTATAATTACGATAACAATGAGTAATTCACAAGTGTAGTTAAAATGTTCAAGTTATTTTGTTTTCTTTTTAGGATTTGCTTGAGAGGATGAGCAACAGGCATAGCCAGTGGTATCTGCGGGGAACATCCACCATTCTAACAAATCTATAGCTCCTGGTGGATAAACCATGTCGTTTTCTGCTCATTGGCAGACAAGCTTCACGAAAGGCGAGGCTGACATCGAGTCAAGCATGCGCATCACCCAGTTGACGTTCAGAGTTTGACTGTTCTCACCGAACAGTGTAATATGAGGACAAAAAAGCTTGGTCTTAAATGAATATCTGCGGGCGATAGTTTATTTTTTTCCTCGGAAAAGACGTACGAATTTTATTCACATAATTGCATAAAAGTTTGGTAGAAAGAAATGAAACTACTGCATGTAGTAAATGAAACGCCGCGGCGGTTTAGAAATTTATAACTTTTCCGTTGAACCGTTTATGTAAGGGCAGTGTCTATTCCAAAATCACATTTTGTTAACACTGACAATAATCACGCTATGTAAAACAAAGACATGTTTAAGTTCCAATTTTCTCGCATTTTTTTTTTTTCCGCGATAGATTTATAATGGGCCTAATTGGAATATCAGTGCAACATGGCTTGGTTAGATCATTGAGTTTTTCCAAGAATCCATAAAAAATGCTGCCCTCTGTTGTTTTAGGGTGGCATTATTCGTGGGCAGTGTCTAGCGGTTATTTTACATCCAATTGCGCCTTGTTTTGGTGAGCGGTGTTTATCTGAGTAAATACGGTAAATGAAATTTGTCTCTTAATTACATAATCCGTAACAAGCTTGTAGTCGCTGGAGAAGTTTGAAAATTTACCTTGTTGTTTTTCTCGATTGTCTCCTGTGACTGAGAATGTCTTCACCTTGCATAGTAACGTGTAGCAAATCATCGTCAACAGAGTAAAAATTGCAGCTTATTCTTCGGTTTTTTAGAACACTTTTTTTATATTCCGGTGAAACAAGATCAATGCAAAAAAATTTTTAACCCCTCTGCTTTTTGTGACTCTAGTTTTCAAAGTAATTCGTTCTTGCTGAATTGAATATCTTTTATATTACGAAGATTTTGTTTTATCTCAGGCGTCCTAGAATATTAGAATAACCTTGGTTCAGAAGTCTGGACAAAGTAAACTATTGCTCGTAGATAAATGCCCTTTATGCCGAAGGGCCTACCGAGTTAAATTACATCAGTGTGCAAACGCAAACAAGAAAGGCCTCTTTGAAGACCACTACAGAAATCGAGTCGCAATCCTCACCCACTGTGTGAAGCTGATTCTGCCAGGGGCCTTTCACCACTGTGGCTGGCAATATGACCAGATTATTACTCTTCTTGGACTTTGTTCCTTGAAAGAGTTCAACCAAGAGGAAAACTATTGAACAATTTGAAACAATGTATACAGCAATAGGACTTATTTATTATGTGCTCAGATTACATTGAATTGAAATTTCACATGTCAAATGACTGTACTAGATGTTTCATAGCAAAAAATTAAAAACGCATTTCGTGAACTGATCTTTCTGAAGTAGAGGGTTAGTTACTGTGACCCACAACCACCATGGCAAATTTGTTTTTACCGCGGTAAAAATCCATCTTCTTTGCTAAATTTTCTCTTCCTTCCATCCACTAAGGTGATTCAGGGAGCGAGAAGACATGACAGACCCTGGGAACCAAGTGGGGTTAAGATTTTCTTCTCGAGGAGATTTACGCCACACGTCACATCATTGAAGTTCGTGAGGTGCAATGGGAAGGGTTCGCTCATAGCCCAATATTCCTGATAAAGTATTGAAAATTGAAAAATTATTTTTAAATTTTAGACCCTTGAAAGTATGAAGCCTAAAAGCCTTCTAGTTTCTTTTTTTCCGGAACTATTAATTGCAGCTCGGTTAACAGTGCTGTGGAAAATCTTGCATTTTTGACGGTTGACGGTTAACCACACTGAAAACGTCTTATAGTGGTGCCAATAGTTGTTTTACTTCCGACTAGTAAGCATGTTTTAAATAAGACTGAGGAAGAGCAGGTGTATAATGAGAGTGGTTATTGTTTTAAGGAAAAGGCAAGGATACTTTGCAGTTATGCAAATCTCTTAAAAAGTACAACTTTGACTCTTCTGTATCCCGGCAAACAACTTCATCATGTGCTCAAGTTTGTGGCAATTATTTCGACAATGCCGCTACTGTTATCCTTCTTCCAAATTAATAAAGATTTACAAGATGGTAGAGAGAGTGTTTTACCATAAACATATGGAAGAATTCCGTGATAAACATTTCCTACCAGCAAAGTCTTAGAATCCGATGATGGTACAGTACTGTAATGCAATCCGCATGCGTTTACCCCGGTGAAAAGGATTGGTCGCTAAGGCATTTCATCAACGACATGGCAGCCGATCATATTCAGTGTATATACGTGGGAGAACCGCAGAGCACTTAAAACCAGAAGAAACTGTAGAACCGAGCCTTGAACTGACAGTCTAATGGCGAGAATATTCCAAACCCAACTGAGTCTCCTCCCTAATCAGTCCCATCTACGACGGTAGTTCCATAAGTACGAGCGACACGTGCCCGATAGAGGTCCACCCGTGTAATTAATATTGGTAATTGAACTGAGCGGAGTGCAATTTGGGCTGAAATCATACGCGTGATTTCAAAATCGTTCGATTTGTAGTCACAAGTATGATTTCAGACCAAAATTGCACGACACGAGGTTCAATTACCACTTTATTACATCCATCTTGAAATCGCTCAATTACAGGACTTGGTCAGTTCAAATATTTTATTGATGCAGTACTAAGCCGGTTTGAAATTAAATTCATCCATTTTTGAGGGAGAAAAAATTGGAGTTTTGGAAACAAAAGTTGCAAAAAAAATTCGCCACATGATACTCTTTATTTTTCATTTTCCTGCAATTTGATTGGGTACTTTAAACAAGGCTTGAAATTTGATTGGTTGTTTTATTTTTATTGTAGCCTCCTTATTGGCTGGGGAAAGATGCAATTTAAAGCAAAAAATGGTGCAATTCATGAGTGAATCGCACCAATTAGAGACGATCAGATTACAGGAACCACCAATGATTTCAAAACGGGTGTAATAAAAAGACTATAAATATCAACTGTCTAAACTGACTATTGTAATTTTTTTGTTTTTAGGTGCCATAACAGTTTTGCTTTATGTAATGGTTTCCTTAAAAACCAGAGAACTGCATTTGAACTTTGCTAGTTATTCTCTAACTTTAAAAATTTTGACTTGAAAACTAGGAGAAGAGATGTAAGACATGTATCTTATATATCCCCCCTCCCCCTGCCCCGTCGCGGGATCATGTGACATGAACCAGAGTAGCCATTGAATTGAGTCTGATTAAACAATACACAAAAGAATTCTGCAACAAAAATTTCACTTTAATTTTTCTTTTTGCTGTAAGGCACCAGGCAAACACCATGAATGAAATTGAATTGAAGAACTTCATTTCTGAGAATATCTAGAGTGGGAATGGCAACTGGTTTTCCAGTTCCTAGCTGGACTAATGAATGATACAGATGAGCTTCCAAACAAAATATTCATCAATGTGTTTCCTATGGAAACTGAAGAGAAAGAAAGCAGACTCTACAACGAACAATCGACAGAGAATCAAGAGCTAAGGAAAGTGACCAGTTGGCCGACTGAAGACACATCCTTTAGCAGTAATACTGTTCAAAGATATCAACGAAAGCTGCGAGATGGAGTCAATAGTTCAGAGAAAACTACTACAAAATAACTTTATGTGACCTCACTGTTGTTGATTGCCCTCCATTTGTTAAGGTATTTAACAATTCAACAATTTTAACACTTAGGTTTGGGGAAAAACAACACTGACACATTAGGTTGCTAAGAGATTTGTAAATTGTTAAAATGTAGTCAATCTCGACTGAGCTGGTTAAACCTCATGAGCAATCAATTGACAGAGGAAGCAGCAAAGTATTTACACAAAGCTATAGGCAATAACTGTCAGCAATGTGCCTTAATCCTGTCAAGAAGTTACATCAGTGACAATGAAGTACGGCACCTGCGTGAAGCCATCATTAACAAAAACTGTCAGCCACCCACATTAGACCTCAGACAATAACATCAATGACAATGCAACACAGCACTTTGCTGACACCGTCAACAACTGTCAGCCTTGCACCTTAACCTCCTAAAAAATGACACCAGTGACAATGGAGCACAGCACTTGCCTAAAGCCATCAACCTGATCAACAAGATTTGTCAGCTATGTACTTTAGACCTCTCATACAGTAGCATCAATGACAAAGGAGCACAGTACTTGGCTTAATCCATCAACAACAACAACTGTCAGCTACCCATGTTAGATCTCAGAGACAATAATATCACAGGCAATGGAGCAGAGCACTTGGCTAAATTCATCAACAAGATTAGTCAGCTATGCATGTTAGACCTCTCAAACAATAGCATCAATGACAAAGGAGCATAGCACTTGGCTGAAGCCATCAATGACAACAACTGTCAGCTACCCATGTAAGATTTCAGAGCCAATAATATCACAGACAATGGAGCACAGCACTTGGCTCAGGCCATCAGCAACAATTACTGTCAACTATGCACAATAAACCTCTCTGGCAACAAAACTGCACAAGCAGGAAAACAAAACCCAAGTAATTTAGTGATTTTGAGTCCGTCTAAGCATAAACTATCTTTTAAGCCATGGTGATATTCCAATTGCAACCAGTGAAAAAATTACCCTAACCATATAATATTCAAAGTACAAGTGTGAGGTTACTAGCTCAGTGACAACAACAAATGAACTGACTCTGTGAGGCACTCACAGCTATGGGATTTTTTGAACCAAATCAAAATGAATATAGATTAACCAATGAACATGTTTATTTAGAGCAAAGGATATCAAACTTTGTTTTATAACCTGGACAATAACTTTGAATTCCTAGAAAAATTGTAAATAAACTCATTGAGCTTAAAAAGAAAGGCTTTATTGAAGGTTATGTGAGATTTACATGAGGTTAATTTTAAAAAACTTTAAGGTTTATGTAGAATTGGTAACCTTCAGCTTCAATGAAGTACTTGTTTCAGCTCAGAAAAAAAAAGAGAACACTTGTGACCTTTTTCCCACTTTTTTCAACCCTTTCAATCTCAATTTTTCATCAGTTTTTTTTCAGGACTTCATAAATTTCCACAATTTTGGGAAAACAAGTATACTCTTTACAAACCCCATCTGAAAAACCAGGTGATTAGAATTCCTGTGTCCAAACACCTTTATTCAACAAACCTCTCAACCTCATCAAGATGCATGTTTCAGAATAACTGTGTGTGTACTTAAAAACTGATGTTAAAAATTTAACTCCCAGAAGTGATTAATAAGAAGGTTCTCCTTAAAAGCTTTAAACTTTGAACAACAAACTCTTTGTAGGTGACCCACCTTTTTGCAACCAGTACATGTGGATTTAAGTGCATTAGCGATGTTAAATCTTAACTTCCCAAAGTGTATTACAATATTTGCTGGAAAGCCCACCTCCAAACACAAAAATCTTTTCACCACACCCTACCATGGAATGTCCAACAAGTTTTGGGGCATCTCCTACGAGGGGCAACTTATACCATTTCATTGTGTCAGTTTCTAAAACGAAAGCCTCATTTGTTACATTCTCCCTTACACCACTCCAGGTCTCCCCACCAAAAATTAGCAAATGTTTACTGCCCAGCTCTACAGCTTTAGCGTGCTGTCGACCACTAGGTTCGTCGCATATGGCAGACTTTCTGAGCAATTCAGAGATTCTCTGCTGGGGAAACGACGTCTCGGTTTGTTCCATTTTCCTCCACGAGCCAATTAATTCATATCCTCCACTCTTGCGACCTCCAAAAACAAATAAATGGTTCTCCCCGCTAGTTCTTATGGGGATAAGATTTGCTGTATGACCCGACCTGGAGCTGGCATGAAATGGTGCTTCAGAATATTTTCCTGTTTCAAAGTTTAAATAAAAAGCACCAGAGAAGCGACGCTGCGTGTGAACGCCTCCTTCACGTCCGATTATCAAAATATCTTTAGAAGATACTAAAGTTGCCGTATGCGAGCTTAATCCTACAGGAATGTCTCCAGTTTCAGGGATATGACGCCAAAATTGATCAACAGTGTCAAAACAAAACACATCAGCGCACCTTTTCCGTCCATTCCAACCACCTATTATCAAAATAAACCGGCCCCTTACAGCCGTCGCTGTATGGTGGCTGACACTCGGTGCGGTGCAAAGTCTTCCCTTAGGAAATCCTGATGAAACTAAAGGTCTGCTTTGAGAACTACCCGGTACTCTGTCCTCAATCCGACTCCACATATTTGAAGAAACATTGTACATGTACATGTCATTTAAAACAGTTCTGTCCGGTGCAATTCCTCCAAAAATATACAGAAAATTTCCTACGACAGAACAAGAATGAAATGCACGTTTACTTGGTACAATTCCATGCGCTGAAACAGCAAAAACCTCCATCACTTTCTGCAGAATAAGTAGAAAATATCGTACTTCTAATCCGCCATTGCAGTCCCAGAGAGCCCTGCGAGTCAGTTGCTCGTTTCAGGCTTTTCTCACTTGTTGCGCTTGGCAGTCGATGAGTTTAGTAAACTTATTGCAGAGATATCCGTTTCCAGCAGAGATGAAGCTTTGTTTAAAGAAATAACAGCATGTACGTGGCAGAAGGAGAAAAAGTCCCAGACGGTTGTATCCTTTGTGATCATGTTTAATGTTTACTCTTTACTCTTATGGTTCACAGCTGGTGTTCGGTGGAATTATTTGGTTACCAATAGCTACCGTCTTTCTCCCGTGGAGCCCTTTGAAAAAGAAGTGTACAGCACGCGATTTCTAATCGAGGACATAAATAATCGGTCATTCGTGATCATAAATTCGCATCATGGTTGCTTTACTTGTTCGTAGATCTTACGCTAGAATATCATAGCGTATGATTGAAAAGGCCCTTTGAACGACTTTTTAGATCGCGAGGTGTACTGAGATTTATGTTAATGAACGGATCGTATAGTTCACGGTATAGTTTTATCCATTACACGCAAGGATGAAAAGATAAAAAAAGGAGTACCGTCAGATTGGAAAGGTCTTCTGTTGTCCTAGTCAGCTTCCATTATGTCGAACGAAGCGTAAAAATAAGAGCGGTAGTGACGGTAAAGTGCTGCGCGCGCGAAGGAACACAACGGAGTGTAAACGTCTGTCGGAAATTCTTACATCATAATGAGTTTCTGCACGTACTGTACATTGTGCATGTGCATAGTGTGTATGCTTGGAAACTACAGTATCATCAGTAAAAATCCTAGGAAAATTCGTTTGAATTTTTGACATTTTGGAAAAAGGAAGAACAACCAGCATCAAAAGGGTAAGGGTGGGGGGGGGGGGAGGAGAGGGGGTGTACAGGTAATTGTTGCATGAAGCTGGAATCTTTCGCGTAATAAGCTTAACTTAGAAATCAGTTTTTTTAACTGGGGCTATAAGTCCTTGAGAAAAAATTGAACAACTCAAAAAGCAAAAGGGCAGCCAATAATCTCAGTTGTACATATGTGGGTTACAGTTGGGTGGGGGGTTTCATCTTTAGCAGTAATTATGTTAAAGACATTTCTTAAGGAAATATGTAATACTTGAAATGTAGTCATGTCAATTTTCTGTGAATTTTGGTTCTCACTCTGAAAATAAAAACAATTAAATTTTTTAGATATATTCACTATTTGCATTATTGCTGGTGAGTTACATTGGTTTTATATACTAGATTGATAATGAAAATTGGCCACTGTGAAATATTCCTAAGCTGATGTTTTGAGCAAGAATCCTTTTGTCATTTACTCTGATGAAAGGTTATGTTTGAAACATCAGCTTAAGAAACTCTTTAAGATGGCCAATTTACAATAACAACTCAGTATTATCTTGTAGTAGCTCCACCACCAATTTACCATAGTTTATTTAGAAACATACCCCCTTAATGTATTTGAATTTGAATTTCTTTTTTTTTTTTTGCTCACATTTTGTGTTTTCCTTGATTCAAATATAATATTGATCAGTATATGAGCTGCAAGATTCATTTCATCGTGGTGGAACCATAAATGACATTACTGAGCATATCAGTAGTTTAAATGCAAACTTGCACAGCTATGACACACCAACTCAACTGGTTGTTGACAAGTACATGAAGGAGCATGGCTTGGAAGTGGAACCAGATGAGGAGGAATTTGGCTTTGGAAAACTTCTTATTGACTACAAAATTCCCAAGAATTCAACATCAAAAATAAGTAACAAAGGTACTGAGTTATTTGTTATAACAAACATGAATTTGAGCCTACATATCAGGAGTCGCTGAGGACTTTTTAGAGGGAGGTTCAATTTGGCTGCATCCTGGTAAACTCAATTTGAAGGACACCTGTCTGCTATATTAGGGAGGTTGCTCGGAATGGTATTCAGTGTCTCTGCACAGTTAAGTAACTAACAGATGAACTAACAAGACCATCGTTGTATTTCAGCCATCAACATGATCTTGAAAAGTTAAAACCCAAGATTACATTATGATCACAATCTGCAATCACATCTCTGAATTATTTTAGAAGACTGTAATCTTCCTAAAGGAATGAATAGAAAAGAACAGCATAGCATAAAGTATATGTCAGGGACATGAATAGATAAATGACATCTACTCCTTCTGGAATAATGTATTTAGATGGTGAGGATCATGCCTAATACATTTCAGCAATGGAAAGTAAAACTAAATGAAATGCTTATCTGCCCCAACACTTTCAACATTAAGTTTGCTTCTCCCTCATAACTTGTCTATTTTAGAAGTTGAAGCTAAGGAAGTTTCCAAGTTTGCTGGAGTTTATTCTGTGAGATCTGGTGAGTTGAATTAAATATTTTATCTCATATTATTAAATATTTAGTGAGAGCATAATGAGTTGGACTTCTTGATTCTAACTTTCATCCAAATCAAACGACTACATATAAATCTATCATGAGGTTCCAAAATAGACTTTTCCAATCTCACATTCTGCGACTACTGTTTCATTATATTCCACAATCCCACTGCAATTAACATTTTCATCCCAATCCTGCCTTGTTAAACCCAAGTTGCTCTAGATCACTGCCTTATTTAAACTGATGCCGGGCAAAATTATAGCCTTTACACTTACTAATAATGAACTCTCATTATGGATTTGCTGAAGGCATATTTAGCACGCTTAAAAAAATGGTTGTTCCCTGATGTGTTTATAGTTTTAATATCGAGACACAAAAACTCCACCAGTGGAAGGACCCACAGAAAAGTTCTCCTGTTTCATAAATAAAATTCTTTAGCCAACCCCACAACGAAAGAAGTCAAATCCCAAAGATGCAACAGACTTCATCAACTTTGTTGGAAAAATGAAAGAAGTCAGATACTCATCTAAATGGGTGTCACAAGCTTACTGGTATACATAAATAGAGCACAAACCAAGAGCATAAACAAGGTGTACACAGTGTCCAAAAGAAAGCACTTCGACTGATTTTCCAGGAAAACTCATTCCAATTCAAGAAACAAAATTACTTGCTAATGCACAGAACCTCCATTGGCACCTAAATTGTAAGAATTGTAAAGGGTACACAAAAAATCAAATCTTTCTCTTTTTAATACCATCCAACAGTTCTTAATATTAAATAAATCCTTATGAGCAAGAGGCATTTAATACAGCAACAACCATTGCTAAGAGAAATCTTCAGAGAACCATTCATAATATCATACAGAAAGGGGTGTTCATTCAAAGATACACTCATGATAGAAAATTAATCTAGGGGAGAAAACCAGATATACTATGGAGCCATGTGGGCCCATTAACACTTGTAACAAATACAGAGAAAACTGGAGGCACAACGGAATTATTTAGGCCAGCTGTCAACCCCAATTTACACTGGAGCATTTATTGTACAGTTTTTTATAAAGCAAATATTAAGTACTTTTTTATGTCTCTGTGGTTGAGTGACTCATAACCTGAGCAAAATTATGATCTTGCATATCCAGGTACCATCCCCTATCCTGCCTTCGAAATGAAGCATATCCTGTTCTTACCTTCCTTTTTATCATTGCACATCTTGCCTTTAAAATTTCTAGTATCCCACATCCTGCCTTAGATTTAAGCCTCATTCCACATTCTGCCAAACCTGATGTTGGATCCCCTATTATAGCCATTAAGATTAGTCAATAGGATGATGTGCTTTGCAAAATTTTGCATCCAAAGCTCATAGTAGTACTGTTAAATTTACAAACACTGTATCTTGATTGCAGTTCTGCAAGCAACATCTCAGAATCCATTGACGACTAGTAATTCACAGCAGTCGCATTTATTGTCATGGAAAAAGTCTGCCAGGAAGGTACATTGAAGTATATTGGATCCTATAGTAACCAGTAAATGATATATACTAAACAGCCATTTAGTAATTGCCAACAGAGCTACTCTTGTATAGAAACATCCTTCAGTCTTTAAAATTGATTTGCTACTTAAGTTTAATGGTGAAAAAATTGTTCCCTTTCTAGAAAACTGAGAAGAGTTCAACCATGAAACCAATGCTTGTAGAGGTACAAACACTAAAAAAAAATGTATTATTTTATGTCTTATTAATATAGCGATAAATTCATAAAATTGACCAATGACTACATGCTTCTGTCACACTATGAATCTGATCTTGGAATCTTTTAAGTCATTAATTTAAATTACAATGTCCCCTTTTTGTGTTACTTGTCATTTTGGAGTCTAAAGCATTTTGCTGTTTGTTGTCAATCTTGGATTTGGAGCTATAGGGACACTTCTGTTTGTGTCACTGCCAACAAGTTTTCATGATAATCTGCACAACAAGAAGGGAAGAAATTATGCCCCTGATAGAAATCTGTTTTGACAACCTGGCAAAGAACATTCACCCTGACCAGGTCTTAGTCACAGTAAAACCATGTGATTACAGTTCAGCATAGTACCATTTCTCTCACTAATATATATTTTTTTCTTTATTTCTAGAAGTAAAAAAGTAATCATTGAATATACAAATTTTTCTCCTAACATTGCTGTATTATTACATTTGGTATTAAATCAACCATCAATGTCTAATAGTTGATAATGTTTATTCATCTCATTGCCTTTCTGCTTGGCAATGTCTAGAGACAGTGTGGAGAAATCTTTTTTTTGTTCACTTCTAAGAGCTAAAGTATTAAGGCTTAATTTATCTACTTTGATCCTTTTTTCAGTTGCATGTATACCCAGGCTATGAACCAGATGAAGTAACTCCCCTTCCACCACCATTCCTTGCCAAAGAAATCATGTTAACTGTCATTGATGCTCAGAGGGATTTTAGAAAGAAGGTAAGAGAGTTGTACTGTTTTCTTCAGTGAGAAACAAATTCTTCTACAGTTGCAACTGTATCACAAAAGTTTTTTGGGGAAGGGAAATTTGGAGAGATGTTGAAAGTAGATATTAAGCTGATGGCAGAAATAATTACAAAAGATGGTGTGAGGAGCAATCTCAAATTAAAAATTTTATAATTTGGGTGAAAATAATGATTCATAGTCTTTTCCCTGCTTCTTTGGTCAAGGTAAGTCAGTGTGAAGTGTATGCTACATCTGCTTGCATGGGATTGGAGACAGGAGACATAAAACACTTAGGACTATTGAGTTAGCATTAGATCCAAGCTTACACTTGCATGTGCTTAGTGCATGTGTGATTAACTTAATGCTGTATAACTTTTGACTGAGTGTAGATCTATATGTATACTGATTGGGATTTATTTCTCAGTTGTCCAACGTACATTTGTACACCTCTAATTTTCTAGCCTTCCTTTAAACGTGAATTCCAAGCCTTTGTGTTTTCCAAGACATCTGAGGACATTCTGCAGGTCAGTTAAAGACTCCACTCTCTGCATGAGATAAAATTCTTTTCTACACCTGTACCATTATTATAGAATCCTTAAAATTAGACAATTGTTGCTGGGGCCAAAACAACTCAATTTACATTTACAGGTGAACATATGTCATCAGATAATTTTTTTGAACTCAAGTCATCTCTAACTATTTCTCTATTCTTACTCAGGACTTGTTTTGGTGGTACTTTTTAGAAAAATATCAGGTGAGTGCCACAGTTTCATTGTGCTGTAGTTAAAGAGGAAGTGCACATATTTAGAAATATATATATAATTAACCAGCAAGCCTTTGGCAGAAAATGCTCCAGTAGATTACAGGATTATTACTTCCAGTGCCATAGTTTGGCTGTAATGTGAATTAATCTCTTCTTTTTGACAGCCCAACAAGAACATCCAGGAAATGTTGTTTAATCGCATTGCTCACAACTATGTCAAGATGTTGTTTACAGCCCCAGTGACACAATACAGGGATAAATTTCTTAAGGTACAAATTGTGTGTTAATGCACAGCATGAGCAGGTGCAACTACCTTAGCTTTTTGTCAGAGCTCATAGTCTATGAATAAGTAGAGAGAAAAATTGTGGAGTTCTAGGCATGGTATACCATAGTCCCAGTCAGTGGAGAAGAGTGAAGAGTGAGGAGTGAAAAATGGTGAGGTTCTAGGAGAAATGTCAAGGAGGAGAGCTAGTCCTCCCATTGCCCTCCATGGCCCTGGCCCCCCACACTTTGATGTCATTTGTGATAAATTACAGAACAGATGCCCTGCAACATGGAACCTATTTGTTTTTCTTTTCTTTTTTTTTTTCTTTAATTCCAGAGGTACCCTGACATCATGGCTCAAGCTGTGTACTGCACATTTTGCACAGCATTCCCAACATCTTACAAGCAGTTTGGAGATGAATTCAAAGAAAATCTGGTGCAGTTGATCCATGAGTGGATTGCTGGTTGGTTTTTTTAAAAATTTGTTTGATGAGCCGTGCATGTAGACGTACTTGTGTTGTATGCATAATGCTGATGATGTACTGCAATTGAAATAGTTTTTTTTAAGTGGCCAATCTAAAGTAAAAAGGTACATTGTACCTACATAATAATAATGACAATGACAATTATGATGATGATAATGATGATGATGACAAGAATGATAATTATGTGCCAGTAGTTACATATGATAATTTAAGAATTATTGTTTTATCATGCATACTGTAAGGCTATTGTCTCAGGTACGTGTGTAACATGATAACAAAATCAGTGTAGAAAGATTTCTGTATAACCCCACACCGTTCTAAAACAAAGCTGTTGTCCAAAGGCAATCAATTGTTTTTGCCATTGTTTTCTTTATCCATGCAAGAACTGTATGTATAGTGAAGTATGGGGCTGTGCAGGAATCTTTCCGAAACAACCATAATTACCTTTGAATTCTCAATGTAACTTTCAGTTTGTGTCTGTATCTCTGTGTCCTCTTTGAACTTCAAGTCACGCAGTGTTTAAATAACAAATCTGCATCTTGTCCATTTAGGAACCAAACCTGTGCCAAGACTTTGGGCCAAGTGGAATTTCAAAGCTTTGGAACCTAAAGATATGAGGAAAGATGAGCAGATCAAACAGGATGCCTCCAAAGGTACAGAGTAGGCGAATTGAGTTGTGAAGGCATCTTACATCAAAAGCGTTACTCTAACTTCACGTAACGGTTCCTGCCTGTGAAAACAAAGATCATGTGACTAACCCGAAGCGATCGCAAAGGACTTTGGGTTGGGCCTGGGAAGGTGGAAGGGGTGGGGGTGTTTGGGGTTAGGGTACAACCCAAGACTTGAACCCTAAGACCTGAAGGAAGAGTTCTTGCATTTCGCCACATAAGTAGATAACAAAAGTGTTAACCTTACGACATTTACTTTAGATCAAATTTGGCCAGGTTTAGTGAGTTTAGAGAGGATGTTAAGGAAAAATTATGAGCAGATCTTAGGGGTCGATTGTTAAGAGCGAAAGATTGATTGACATATGCATTTAGTTGTTTCGTTTTGTTTTTATCATGAAGATCAGCAACACTAAAACACGGAAATCCGTGTAAGTTACGTTTTAAGGAAAGAACTAAACGTCGTTTTTCCTCGTCAGGTTCTTTGGTTTCGCTCCCAGTGGACCTCAGTGAAGAGAATTTAACAAAACAGAGTAGCTTGTCTTTTGTCAAGAAGTCCTTACCTTACATTCTTGTGGATGAGAAACCACCAGTCCAAAGTAGCTTCACAGGGCTGCCGGGCCGTGACATTAGGAGAAAGTCCGTTGCGGCGAGAAAATCGTCACAAAACTTTAGTGTGACCAATAGTGAGGAGTTGCGTGACTCCATCAGTCATTTGGCTCCGCCTCACGCAAACGAGGATAGGGGATCTGCGACGCCTCAAACTTTGAGTCGCCTTCAGGCAAAAGTATCTTCTTACTCGGCATTTGCTAGTGTGCATAAATTGAATCGCGCAGATAAACGAAGAGAGGTAAGTTTCCTTCAAGATCTCGTTCGCTCTTTTGCTTGATTGTTTTTACAGTGTGTACGTTTTATCTTACTGGGCCTCTCACTTCACCAGTCAGCACGTTCGTTCATTCTGTAGAGTCTTGAATACGATGATGGTTCAGTTGGAGACTCTTCTACAAACGATCTTTTCTTTTGCCCGATTTAAAACTAAGAATGATAACGAAACCACGGAGCTATGAACGGAATAAGTCTTTCACTAATTTGTGGTTCGCACGTTAACCATTAAGATGTCGATTCCAAATTTATTGTATACACTAACGACAGTAAATACAACCTTTGGGCGTGTAAAATATTCTTTTTAACCCTTTACACCCTAACATCAGTATGCATATTCTCCATACTGTTCTCTAAGGTGCTGACAAGGAGAATTTGTCGAACAATCAAGAGGTTCTTTAGTTGGTGATCAGTTCCTTTATTCTCCTGACCGTAATATTTCATTCAGGGGTGATATGGTGAGGAGAAATTAGATGCCAGTCACTCTTAGGGGCTAAAGGGTTAAAGAAACCTGATCAAACGGTTTATGATGAACCATGCTATGCGATAACACTATATCACGTCATATGTAGCATTCTAAAAAGATGCTGAGCAAAGAGAAACGTAGTTATTACATCGAACTTTCATATGTTTGTCCTTTCATTTCGGTGCTCGAACGGTTGGCATTTGTTATTGTATCCTTTCAATCGCTCGTTTGTTCGTAAAATCTCGTTGAATTTGCTCGTACGATGTAATCTTGGGAGGTGATCGAAATTACAAAATGTTGAATAGTTTATGGTATGTTAAAGTCACACAATCCACACAAAAGCCTCAATTGTGGTGACACAAAAGTATCTTTTTTCTCCTGAAAAAAGATACTTTTGTCTCTTTGTTTTTCTATTCGGAAATCCCTAAGCCTTCTTGGTAGCAACGTAATGCTGATAAGACCTAATATGGGTAAAACAGCTGATCAAGGCTATTGGCTATATAGCTTACTTTATTTTCCCGGTATCATTTTTCTGAATTTCCTGCTTGAACTGTCCCCTCCATATTTTTTTCCAGTCCTGTCCAATCGGTAGAGGCCCAGAGTTCTCTCGTTGTGTGTTCGATGTTTATGGTCACAGCCCGCTTGTGGAACAGTTTCTTCGGATGCAGAAGTTAGCAAAAGATTCAGGAACTTCGGTGTTGATTCAGAGAACTGAAATCAAGTCACTGCCACCATATCCTTCACAACAAGGCTAAAGAGCATAATTAGGGCAGACTAAGTTAGGCCACGTTCAAGGTTAAGAATGACTAAAGATTTTGGGCGATTCGACTTAGGCTAGGATAAGTCTGCTTTAATTTTGGAGTTTACAATTAGCTCAAATGACATATGTTTCAAGAAGAAAAAATTATAAAACTCGAGACTGTTAGAAATGATGTTGTAACAATTTTTAAGTTACGTTTGGCGCAGAGAGAAAAAAGGGAATGTAAAGAAAAGGCTAGCTTGCGAGCAGGCCCTCATTGTTAGTACTGTAGGACGCACTTTTCTCTGCCCACTGGCTGATTTAAGACGAGTCGAGGAGAAGTTTGTGGGGCACTAATGACTTATGCTAGTCTCCTTGCAGACTTCTCACCGGCTGGCGTTGCTTAATCCCCCATACTTCCATGCGGGCGAGGGAACGCTCGTGTCGAAAATTAGGGTTGCTCGCAAGCTAAGTAAAATTATTTCAGATTCCAATTGTTCCCAATTAAAGATTAAAAAGAACTTCATCGAAGATGTAAAGTTCTTCGAATGCTCAAGTTGGATTAGAACCGGAACCGTTGGATTCTATTCCAGTTTTCTTGGTCGAGATAAACTTTTTTGTTCTTCCATTGTAAATTCCTCTTCAGCTCTCCTTAACCGTGTTTACATTATCCGCCCCAACTTACAGAGAGGTGATCAGAAAGTCTCTCAAGATCTCACAAGCTTTAACAAGTGATTTTAAAAAGTGAGTATATTTGATTCGTTTTCGATTCTTTATCGAGTTGAATTTTTTCAGCCTTGCGTAGTAGTGTCTCCATTTAAGAGGACGCAATGGATTTAGAACGGACCGCGCGAGTGAAAAGTCATGCAGAGTTACTTGCGTTACTTGCAACCAAGTGTATTATATTTTGAGCGGCAAGGGAATACTGAAGCAAGAGTCTTACTTGCCTAACATTTTCTCTTTGTTATATTAGTGTCGATATGCTAATCTTGCGCGTGTTATCAAACTCCTCTTTTGTACGGTTTAAACGTTTTCTTTTTTCCAATAACCCGCCTTTAACTTCATCTGAAATATTTTAAACGAAAATAAGAGAAACTTGCTGGAACAGAATTATTTCTTGAATTTCCCGCGTACAAATACGATTCTCTCCGATCGTTATCAAAGTTTTTAAAAGTTAGTTGTGAAGTACATAACCTTTTTTTCCATTTCTTTCTTCTTTTTTAGACTGGACGAAGAGAATTCTCATCAACGAACTTTATTTGCTCGTAAACAGAAAGAAGCCAATAGAGACTTTACCAGGTATCGATTAAAATTAATTTATCGTGTATCCGTCACGTTTGATGACTCGAGAGAAAGAGGATGGAGAACTTTTCAATTGAGTATAGAAAGTAATCCCAGATTGCTATAGGTTTGCTTACTTCGCTCTCTGATTAGTCTAGAAAACTCAAGTCACCCTCTCAACCAATCAGATGCAAAACTAAAAGTAACTACCCCCTTAACGTGTTTTCCCGCGCTTTAGGCAGTTTGCTTTTTTTTATTTTGAGTTGTCATTGGCTCTTAAGAACATTTTCCTTTTTTTCTAATTGGTCGTAGTAATTACTTTGGTTTTGATTTTACAACATTCAATCGAGAAGCAATATTTGTACTCTTCTTAGTATATTATGGAATACCCACTATGAAAATAATGAATACTGGGTCCCTTATATATGCGTTATTGACCAAGCGAGGGGTCAAGATGGTTGGATATTGGCCGAGTTCTTTCTTTGCGTTCTTATGGACCGAGAGGAAGTCGAGGCCTATAAAAACAAACAAACAAAAAACAGAATGAAGCTAACATATAATCATCTTGACCAATCAAGCTTTGTCGATATTTATTTATTATACAGCGAAAAGGTCATCGCTTTATCAAGAATCAAGACTTGTTTATTTCAAGAGATGGAAAAGTTATCCAGCTGTTTTAGTAGCAAAATAAACCCACGGGAGCCGTTAATGTTTTGTTTGTTTTGGCTGTCCTCTGCCGCTTTTTGCGACTCTATCGTCGGCATTGTCCAAAATTTATAAACTTAGCGTGACCGCTCTGAGCAATTATTTTTTCTTGAGCAGGATCAAAGCGGGCAAGATGGGCCCATCTTGCCGGCTTGCGTAGCCAATCAGAACACAGGATTCGCTTCATATTGCCCGTGGGCACAGCCAGCGATGTAATAAATAGGTGTACTGTACGTATAGGCGTGTGCTTTCCTCTTATATCTTCAGCTCGGAACCTGTATACCATAGTAGTTCTTATTTAAGCTCTCCAATCGCCACCAAACCTTAGAAGAATAACGCAAGTCCTGTTCACCTTTTACGTGTTGGTAGCTGATACTGATTAGTATAGGTAATAACTTAATTTCGAGTGTAATTTGGTATTGATGAGCACGATTAAATTTTTCGAAGACGACAAAATTGCCCAAGCCCATAGAGTAAGAGCAATTTGGGGTCTTTGAAATTTACAAGTGCTTGTTACACCAAATTGGTAATGAAATTATAGCTATTACTTGTTAATGATTTCCATGATCAACATCACAGAAAGTCAAGACAGACCAAATTTTGAAAGCGCGCGCACGCGCTATTTGTAATTTGCCCTCGTGTTACATGAGAATGAAATCGTTTTCAGCTAACCAGAAGCACGTGATTTTAAAATGCACATTATTAGGTTCGAAACCTCTATGCATTTTCTCCATTAGTTGATTTTATGTTCATCATTTAATCATCTTATCAGACGCGAAGGAGAGTTATTGGCACGTCAGAAGGATGTGAAGAAGATAAGCGAGCTGATATATTTAGAACTCACGGTAAGTCACATCGAGGTAGAGAGAGTAAGTAAGCTAAGTAAGCGGCAACCGGATGCCTTTTTTCACTTGCCGGAAGTATCAATTTCTTCATCCATGATTGGAAAGTGACAATTTCTCAATGCCAAAACAAATGCTTGGACTCTAAAGGACCAAAAAAGCTTTCGGTCATACAGGAATTTCTGGAGCTACACAACACATGTATTCGAATTCGGGGACGGCGAAGGTTACTTTCAACCGTGAGGACTTGAACACGAACACGAACGAACGCTTGGGCGCGAGTTCGTGAGGGGGTCTCGGGCCTTCCTCCTCTAGAAATGTTTTTAAATCGTGATCTCGGAGTACAATGTGTGGTGAACCGGACTTTTTCCGTTTTCGTTTTCTTTCTCTTTACTCTTGGTACGTACCTTATACTAAAACAAAACAAACTACTATCCTCACAAAATTGAAGTCCACCAGTTCCGCCGTTCCTGATTCAACTTTGTTCGAAATTCTAAATTTAAAAACGGCCGCCGCACAATAGCAAAGCCACATTATACTTTCTTACTTTTTTTTTTGGCTATAGTTTGACAAAAGATGCATCATAAAAGATGTTGTAAAGAGAGATATTTGATTTTGTTACAATTTAGAAAGACGGAGATGAACAAAGCAGTGGAAAAGTCGCCGCAGCCGTTGCTTCGGCCATGGGGTATGGAACTGAGAGCGAAACCAATTAAACGCGTTTGGGTATAGCTGGTTTCCAAAGCAATTCAAGTTTGTTCTCTGTTACTCTTGAGGAGTATCATGCGAAGTACTGAGGTACTAGCAGAGACGTGGCTTTCGTGTTGTAATTTTATCCCGCGTAATTCTAAAATGCTTCTATTTATTTTGATAATATTTTTACATATGGCTGATTCAAAATTCTTATTTTTGTATTTTATGACAGTCTAATTTATTAAATTGTGGGTTTACGCTTTGAGCAACTTTCTGTTATAAAAATGTTCAACAATCAACAAGTAAGCTTTTCTTGTTGATTGGATTAATAAAAGTACATTCCTTGTGAAGAATTTTATAGCTTAAAAGTGTTGCTTCTAAAACTGATCAAACAAAACATCGGCTTTGCTACTATATCATGTATAATTCTCAGTCATATTTTACATTGGATTAGTGCTAGAATACCGATAATGTCCGGACAGGATTGACGGGCAAACATGGTTTGGATCAAAACATGCATTCTTTCTGTTTGATTTTATTTTCGGGGAAGGGGAGGGGTGCTGTCGAGGGCCGTTAGTGTGGTCCATCAGTTTGGACCTCAAAGCCTTTACGAATGCGTATTACTCGTTATTTCGGTATAAATATCACTCAAGGAAGATGACTTAATCATTGCAACTGGGTTTTTATCGTCAATATCAAAAGAACTTCTGGAACAGTTTCCATGTTCGTCACTGCCAGCCAAAGAGTCGTAAGTGTGGTTGGCGTGGATCGGTTCGTTCTCCTCGGCTATCGATTCGAGAGATCGAAACCTGTTCGGCACCCCGACATCAGCTTGGCTAAGTTCTCCACAACTTTTCCAGCTTCGTAAGACATGTTCGTCAAAGCCATCTATGTCTTCATATTGTCCTTCGTAAGAGCTGTCTTCCAAAGAAGAAGTGGAACTCAGGTGGAATTTTGATAACACGACTCGTTCACGGTTCCTCTGATAGATTTCCTGTAGCTCTTCCAGGCTGTATTTTGACATAAATCTGGCCATGTGCGGGATTGCATCGGCAATGTCGTCTTCATCAAAGTCTTCGTCCATGTGCAGCAAAAAGCGGAACAGCGTTTTCTTCTTGTCACTTATTTTTTCGACCTCGAGCCAGTTGGCCTGTCGCTGTTCCTCGATGCTAATATTGTCCAACGTATACATGATACTCTCGGCGAAGTCTTCAACGTCTGCCACTGCCTTTTCAAAATTTGTCAATGTAGGTTTATACAACGGCTTGAATGGTGGACTCGCCAGCCTGCCAATCTGCTCTTTAAGGCAGTACATGATGTAATCAAGCACCTCGTAATCGTTCGTTTGGTTTCCAACGTTACTACTCACTTCAGCGAAGGCGTCGTTTACAATGGACAAAAAAACATTGACAAGGATCAGAAACATGAAGAGCATGTAAGAGATGAAAAAGATGGGTCCGATGAATCGGTTTGAGTTCTGCAACCCTAGGAAATCGAACCCTCCCAGGGTCATGGACAGCATAGTCTCTGATGCTACAACGAACGTAGCGTAATCCTCATTTGTTGGACCAAACACAAGGAACGCCACCTGAACGTAAGCTACAAAGAAAAGGAAAAAAATAACAAAGAAGGATAGCAATGGTTTGCTGCTGACCTTGATCGTCTGAGCCAACGTGGATAGTCGTCGATTGAAGCGGAGAAGTTTGAGAAACTTGAGAAAGAAACAGAAAACTGCCAAGCCTAATGTTCCCAAGTAAGCTTCATCTAGGAATATAATGTAGTCAAAGCTGATGAAAGTATCAGGGTTTGCTCGCATTCGCTCCATGGCCAGTTTAGCAAACCCCAACTCTGCAAGGTACAGAAAAATGGCGGAGAATGAAGAGGCGATGACTATTATCTCAACATAGTTCCAAGGGTCTTTAAAGTAACTCTTTCCAAGGACAAACAGCTGCTTGACTTCGTTGTAACTGTAAATGCATAGAGATACGAAGAAGATAAACTCGAAAACCATGATAACCATTTGTTCTGGACCAGTATAGCGGTAAAGCCGGATGCTACGGACTTTCGGGTAATGGTAGTATCCCCCAGTGGGGAGAATTTCGGTTAGCATAGTTACTACACCGAAGAAATTAGTGTGCGCGTTGTAAACCGTGAATTCAGCGAAGACCGCGCGCGTGTACCGATCAATCCACTCATCAATGTGCAAATCTTGTATATTCTTTAGCGCGGTCAAGCGCGTGGGAGCGAGATTGTACACAAAACCTGCAAAAAATAGAAATAAGCATTACTCGAATACGAGCATTCCAATTTCAACTAAAAGTCTCCCATGCTTCTTCCCTTCTGACCTCTCGTTCTGCGTCCTTGAAATACTTACTGTCGTTTGTGTCAATGGGCAAAAATCTCTCCAAACATCAACCTACTTACGTTTTGCTTTACTTGTTACACCACACCTTTCCCTAACTAATTCGATTTGCACTGAATTGAGGAAGCTGGGAAAAAATGCTTTTATACAGCTCAACGCACAGACTCATCACCCTTTTAATGTCAATCTAAAATGCCCAAACTCTCTCTTTCTGACATAGTTAGAAGCTACACTGGTTTGCAGATTTAATGAATGTAACCGAAGAAGTTACAATTCATAGACCCAACGTTTCGACACTCCTGTCTAGTGCCTTCATCAGGGGTGATCTAAACGCTGCAACAAGAGGTCCTTTTATATGATCACTAATTAGCGGCCTTTTTTCTGACGAGGTGTAAATAGGCGTCAGGAAGCAGACCGCCATCGTCACGATTTAAAGGAGCGTGGGCGGAGTTAATGTGCCAAGCCTCCAAACAAAGGCGCTGGTGGTAACGCCGATTAGTAGTGATAATTTTAGAATTATCCCACCCAATTGTATGGTTGGTTAGGCAAGTATGCTCCGATAAAGCTGAATTTTCCTTTTTGCAAAGAAAAACCGCTTTTTGATGCTCTTTTAACCGTGTACCAAACTGGCGTTTGGTCTGTCCGATGTATTCGTTATCACAGTCATTGCAAGGAATAGAATAAATGGCGTCGGTTCGTTGTTCTTTCGTGACAGGATCCTTAGGTTTGGCGAAAATATGCCCCAAAGTCTGAAAAGGTTTTTGAGCAACTTTAACGTTGTGGCTATTCAAAATTCTTTTGATGGGTTCAGTAACCTCTCTCTTTCTATCAATCACCGCACCCTCCCCCTCCGAAACTGTAAAATTTGAAAGATTTCAGCCAAGGGTCAAGGGATGATAATTAGTAGTTTATTGGGCTAATTTTGTGTGCGAATCGCATCAGTTAATTCCGTTCCTGATTCGGTCCGTGAGGTGCTGCGGGTGTAAATGTATGACAGCTAATCACGGTTCAGACACTCACCACCTCCCCAGTAAGATGCAAAAATTCCCCAGAATGGCGTTCCATTCAGCGCTAGGGCGCTTTGCCAAATCCAGGGAGACTGATGATCATTCGAAAGTTTTTCTACGTCACTTTCCTTCATTGGTTCCCAGCCAGGATGAAAAGCACCTTCTTCTTCATCTTCCCATGAGTAGTAAGAAGTGCACGTTTTGATGATGTGGAGCAGATGTAAGGGGATAGTACAGGCATCTGAAAAAATAATCCCCGAAGGAGAATGGTTTTGGTTCAGCCCTAACTTTGGAAGATATCTGTTATTTGCGACTCATTGCTGAATTACAAAAGCAGCTACCATCTGTCAAGGTAGTTACTCTAAGTGTTTTGAGCCAATGATAGATGGAAATAGTCTTTTTTGAATGTTACACCATAAAGTTTCCCAAACTGAATTACTTTCCTTAAAATTTCCTAAACTGAATTACTTTCCTTAAAATTTCCTAAACTGAATTACTTTCCTTAAAGTTTCTTGGCGATTTTAAAAGAGTCCCTGAATAATCCCAACACTCTTTGAGATCATGCTTAGGTAGCTTGAAGGCCGCTGTGTCTACCTTGTCCCCAGGCGTTCTCTTGATTAGAGCGCGCTGCACTTAGTGTGAGTGGCCTCGCATTTAAATGACGAGAAAAATAGGAGAATACCGTGAACTCTATAAATATTACCTTTTTTCACCCTCAGCTGACGTAATCGTGCCACACCCACAATATAAAACATTCCTCGGTCGGCGGTGACAGTTTTGGGGAAACTCTTCAATGATTCAAAAGACTCTGCATAGTCAGTAGCATAGGACCCACTGCCCTTTACTATTGTCTTGATTTTACGTCCTCCTCCGCGTCCAGTTTTGAATGTCATCCTTTCTTCAGACCACAATTGCTCTTCTTGTTTGATAATAAATGGACCATACCAGTACTGGGGGTATAAGGAGGGAACGAAGGAATTCTCGATCCAGTTCCATAATTTCGATGCTTCACTGCTCTGTTAAAGACAAAAGCGTACACTTTTGTGACTGAATTACCTCTAGGTAGAGAAACGCCCTTCCAAATGAAATTACCCATTTGTGCGTAGACCTTTTTCAACTTAGATTTATTCCTTTGTGTTCATGTGATCATACGTACGCCTTAACGCCTGATTAGCAAAAGCAAAATTCATAATAATTTGAACTCTGAATAGAGGGCAATTAGCTAAAACGTAAAACAAATGGCCATGGAAAGGTCTGTTGAAGAGACAAACCAGCAGAAATGCACAAAAAACCACAAGGGAATAAGTGCAGTAGAATCGACTATTTTAATACCACGTGCGAACAGTAAGGGAAATATTGCTTGCTATAGTTTTGCTTGTTATAGTTTCGTCACAGTTTCGCATGTTTACCTGATCAAACGGAAGCAGTGAGGTGTACTTGCTTTCGGGGAAGATATCGGTGAGTGCTTTGGTCACGGCATACGCTTGAGTATCTCGGCTTCCATACGCTACAACACTTAGGACAAGAATGAACGCAAAGTAGAGGAAAATTTCACGAAGGATGATTTTCATCTGCTTCTGCTTTGTGCGACGCTGTCTGGCGATGTGAAGAAGTCCCTCGCTTGGTGGCTTGGGAATTTCCGTAGATTTTCGGAAGTCGAAGCCATTCTGCAGATTGCCATAGGAGTCATGTATCCATTCTTCGTCCGTCCCAAGTTCCCTTCTTTCCTTTCCGTCGTCTTGAATGGCCTTGTCTGGATCTTTGATGATGAGAGCGAAGAGCACTGCTACGATGATGACTTTGAGTGGCTGAGAAATAATTACGTCTTGCCAAAAAGATATCATCATACTTGACACCCATCTCTGTGACTTGGCCTCTCCAAATGTCAGAGAATAAAAGATTGTGAAGACGGCAGAGGTAACAGAAGCAACGAAAATCAAACCATAAGCAATGTAGATTGTATAATGAGGAAGAGTGAACATTTTCTTTCCTTTTTTCCCTTTCTCTTCCTTCTTTGTTTCGCTGTTTTCGGCGTCTTCTTCTTTCCTCTCGACCAGGTCGTAACTATTGCAGGTTTCACTATCGAAATCACTGTGTTCACAAGCATTGCTTTGGTGATTACTCGGTTTTGTACCTAGCATGGGCAAATCTTTCGGCCTAGCTTTCCTGAAAATGTTAACGATAAGTAAGTTCACAGGAAGAACTACCAGGCTTGACATGACCCCAATCCCGATTTGGTTTATTGAGAGTCGAATAGGTCCAATCTTGACTTCAACCTCAGCATTTGACTTTTCCTCTGCTCCGTCCTTGTAAAACATGGCGTTTGCCAGCATGCTGCAGGTGAGGATTGACAGACAGCAGGAGAGGCGCTGCACGCAGGTGAAGGAACTTCCAAGGGGACGATACAACACCGAGTACCACAAATGCCCATCACTGAGATTCTTACGAACCTCGGAGCTAAAAAGAAAACTAAACCTCACCAGCTCTTCCTTTGAAGCTGGAAGAAGTCTTCGATCGATCTGACCATCGTCTTCTTCAACGGCAAGCCAGCGATCACAAACAAACCATACCACTTTGTCAGTCTGAAGATCGCGTACGAGCACCCGTGAGAGAAACCACGAAGGATCAGGGCCGGTGTTGTTATGCCATATTCGAATACCCAGTATCTCTCCAAGCGGTCGCGGGACTGTTAATAGAAAGTTATCAACGCTTCCCTGTTGAAATTTTCTTCGCGCTGGCTCCAGGTCGAGTAACCGACGGGTCTGTGTCTGCTCAAATGTGCCAGTCAGCACTATCGAAACATCTGCAGTGGTTCCCGCGCTACTGTCAAAACCAGTAAAGACTATAACCTCGTAACCATATAGATCCCTTGGATCATTAGTTGGAAGTGGAGTGACACCAACCTGTCACGATAGAGAAACTTGTTTATGAAAAGAATTATGCATGTTCGGTTATTTTTCTTGGGATGTCCCGATACACTGATGGCACAATAATTTAAAATTTCTTTCTTCTTCTCTTTCCATACCCCAACAACACCAGGTAATGTTCTTCAAGCACGAATTTCTCATTTTTTGTTTCACATGTTACAACCAACATATTCAATCAACTTCTTGAATTTCGTATGCCGAGATCCGGTTAAGGTAAGGTTTGAAATATGGTGGTCAGGATGATTTGACTGTGGTCATCTGAGGTTATTTGAAGCGAACTTTAAATGATCCAACTTGCTAATACCAAAAAGCTGAATATACTGATGATAATAAGGCTTTTTCAGGGTCAAAAGTACCCCTTGATTTTATCGATTTTGCTTGAATTCGATCAGCTATTGGCCTAGAGAACTTCCCCCATCCTTTCAACCAGTCCGGACCAAAACCTACACCCCTTCACAATTTTACCGCCCGCGCTTTCCTGCGCTTCGGAAATTTTAATAATAATTCCTTTCTTCTTATTGCTCGTTGTGATATCTTAACGCTTTTATCATACGCAAAGTGGATATGTGGTTTTTATCATGAGTATTAGTATATCCTCACCAACAACAGGTCTGCCTTGTCCTTTTGTCGGGCCCATACCACCAGCAGAAAATACAGGAGAAAGATGCAGCAAACGATGATAGTGACGGTAGGATTTTTGAGAAGTTCTTTCAGGTTCACCTTTCTCCAGTCAATCTTGTTCGGGGGAACAAAGAAACTGCTCGCAAACGACGACATATGGGTGCACAGACATTGTGTGTGTGTTGAATTGGACAACGGTCCAACCTGATAGGAAATAACAAAAAGCTGGAACAAACTAACTACAACGACTACCCTGCAATTCCAAATATACAACTTTCACGTAAAAGCTGAAATTTTCAACACACGCTATGCTCAGTGTAGTTGCAGGTGAAATCAGTCAACTGAAATGTCAGGGCATTCCTCATGAGGCATGGCACTATTTCGAGTCCTTACGAGAGTATTCCTCTCTCAATTTACAGAATAATTTAGCAAATTGAAGGAGATAGAAGCCAAATAGATAATGAATTGATTTCTGTTTCCTTCCACTCCTACTTATGTATGCAGACGTATCTTACCACACAACCGTCTCCAACCCAAGTTTGATTCAGTTCGTTCCAGTACAAGCACTCGGATGTGTATGAAGAAAACAAGTATTCCACCGTCCTATCTTCCTCATCGACTCTAGCACCACTGACAGTTCCGTTGTACTCGACGATCACAAAATATTCCCCTGCTGCTGTCCCGTTGAATTCCGTGTTGCTAAAGAACAGTAGCTTTGGATCCCAGGCCCCTTCATTGCTTGCGTTGACACTAGAGTTGAGCTGAGGAACAACCCGTATTTTATCCTTCTCATGGCCGTCCATTGTTGGTTCTTCTCCTTTTCGCAGATAAACGACCAGAGAAGGTTGCTTCGTAAACTCCCCAAGAAGGTGCACCTCAATGGTAATAGAGCTTCGGTTGTTCTTTACTTCAAACCTATGCCTGAGGATTTTGGTGTATTCCACCTTCCCTTGAGAAGTTTTAAGGGACTCGCTCCCTTTTCTTATCCACAAGTCCACTGGTTGCGTAAGGTTTTCGATTTTCAGTTCCTCTTGAGTGCTGTGGTTGCGTATTTCTATTGAAAGCACGTGACTGTTGACAAGACTAGCACTTGGGGACCAAACAAAAGGTACGAAAGGTGTTGAGGTGACCTGTCATGAAACATGCGGCACCAAAAAAGGATTTGTGAGAACCACACAAAGTATTAGAACAAAGCAATTGAAAAAAAGAAATCACACAAATAAACATTCTTAATTGAAATAAGCTAAGAAATAATCCATAAAGATACTATACCACAGAGAAACAAAATTTAACTGTCATAATAACATATATTTCTACGGTTTCCTTTTATAAATTCCCCGTAGGGTCTTCTAAATCAGTAAAACTTCATTTTAAGTTTCGAGTGAGAAGATATATCTAGCACCCAATTTACACTCCAAAAACAAGATGAATTAAGCCTTTATTATTGCTTTGTGTTCTACATATTGTTAGAATGGGCAATTTCGAAAGCTTCTTGTGAACTTATAGTTTAAGAAAAATGGCTACTTTAATGAAATAAAGAAAGAATTTTTTTTGGATTGTAAAGTCGAAAAAACATCCTTCAATCTAGTGGATTCTCTGAGTAGAGATAAACCAGAAACTAAAAACGAAGTTAAAGTGATTTGATTAAGAGTTACACTTACCAATGCGTCAATAACGATAAGAGCGGTCTCGTTTCCGTCCTTCAATATGCCCAGCTCTCCAAAGTTGTCAGGCAAATCAACACCTCCTACTCCACAGTGAAGAGTACGTCCCGAGAATCCCGCAGGAAAGTCGCGGTTAAGGGTGAAATACAGCGAAGGAGAGCGCACTTGTATGGGTTCCTCTTTTGGTAGTGTGTGACCAAGATACGAGTCAGATAGGAGTCTGACGTATTCTATGACGTTTTCCATCAGAATTTTACCCTTTAAAGATTTATAATTAAACATTAAAGGAAATTGCTATTAAGTTCAAGAATGCTATAATCAAAGAGTTGCTCGAGTTTTAATAGAAGAGAAGTGTAACTTTTGTATAGTTAACGTTTAGCTTAACCGCAAAGGAAGCTTTCCAATTTATGGAAACTTGAATTTTCTTTATTCAAAGACTGTCATGGACTGTTGAGAAGCTTTATTGGGATTCGATTTGCTTAAGATGAGATCGGAGTGGACACAGAGGAATATTATGCGAATAGGGCCACGAATTGTTACGCGTAACTAGCTGTAGGGTTTGGTAGCTTTATAGCTCTAAGTAAGGAGCGATCTCTCTTTTGGTTATCATCGGGCTGCAGTATGCATGCATCAGGTGATTTTCCATGTGAAGTGTGGCAGGACTAGTGTGAATATATCGAACATTTTTACCCTCTTTCTTCGTTTTCAAAACATTTCCCCATATAGGCGGGCGATAAAAACGAAAATTGTCCCTTTCAAAGTATAGTAAACGGATTATTTAGAAGAATGGAATTCAGTTCCACTCATTTTTTTTGATAACTCTCATTCCCTTACGTCAAGCCCAACTACTTACCAATACATCGAAATTTTCCTGTGTCATTGACGCGTTTGTCCTATTTCCAGCAAAGTATTCTCCATCCATCAAATGAGATACGACCCCCAACATGTTACCTAACGCCTCGGACACAGTGTTTAGCGTTCCCCAGAGTTCAGTAGAATCTGTTATTGCGGACTGTTGTATGATTAAGCTCACCATATTGCTGAGTGTCTTGTTCAGGTTTAACTGTTATAAAAACGAACAAAATGCCAAGTAAGCCGGCAAGTGAAAAGTTCAAATCGACTGCACAGAGCGAATCGATGTGGAAAACCAAAATCAAAATACTGATAACAGCCAATCAGAACAATAGAAAAAAATCACAAGGAGGCGATAAGAACTCCAGGTAAAAACAAGCAAACAGCTCCAAGCGCGGGAAAACGCGAGTGACGAGGTTGCGGGCTTCACTCTTGAATTTAATAGGTTGGGAAAGCTGAGCGGGTTTTGAGGACCAACTACAGAGCGAAATAAGGCAAAACCAAAACAAACATCAGGAAATTGCTCAGGTAATTCAATCATTATACGAGTGTGGAACAAGGAAATAATCTTGAGCTTCCAGTGAGGATTCTGGTAAACCTCTGCTTTCATATATCGTGAGAAGTGCGTTGAAGGTTTTCTTTTTTGTAAGGAAACAATTTTGAGCGGTGAAAGAATCATTTGTCATGGAACAAATTGTCTCGGCATATGTGACAAGCATCTTGCAAAATGCTTCCATTAGTAAAGTCGAAAGAGTCCAGGGTAAAGATACAGTAACAAAGACGGTAAATTTAGAGCTCATTTATTATTATAATACCTGAGCCTCAACCTCACACTCATCAGGTATAGTTGCAAGCTTAGAGACGGCATTGGCAGTCTCTCGGACTGTCTTTATGTCATCCATGGTAATTTCTGACAAAACCCGACTCATTCGTGTGCGGATCTGGAAAAGTGATTCAGAAAGGATTAGGAAGTATAAATTGGTCTTCTGCGCATCGTCGCACAGAGGTAGTCTTGTAGTTAAATTTTATCAAGTTATTTTTGAAAAAAATAGGATTTGTTTTCGACTGGATAGCAAGATTATTTGTCCCGCCAAAGCTCAGACTTTAACATTTGCAAGTGATAGCAACTTCCACTAAGCTTTTTGATGAAAACGAATAACAACATTTTATTTTAAATACCGTCACAAGTATCACAGCGCTCAAACGTCAGGCATGCGTCAGGGGATCAAATCTGGCCGGCTGCGTATCAAGTTTCCGCACAAAGTTCCGCTGTCTCGCAAAATTAACGCAAGAATATTGAAAGTTGCGTAGAAATCAGTGAAAGGAAATTAAAGTAGGGAAAAAGAAAACTCGAGACTTTTCAAAAGCTTATTTTAGTACGCATATTCTGTTGATTTGCCTTTTTTTTGGAGCTTCATCGAAAAATGTACACGCTTTTAGAACACTGTGATTTACTGGCTTATGTAATTGTTTCTAATTTGTGTCGGAAAACTTGGTTCTGACAAACTCACCAAGTCATTACCACGTTTACACATGCGCAGACGTTTGACCACTGTGTTTCTAGTAAAGAGAAGGATATGAGCTCCAGTGGAAAAAACAATTGCGAGCGTAATGAGGAGTCTGTCATAATCAATGTGGCCTTGGACAAGTCAACACCTTCAGAGTAGAAATGATTTTAAATCCTTTGTGCTGTGATATTTTAGACTTAGAGGACTCCTCTCAAAATTAGAAGCTCCTGATTTTCTATATGGGCATCCCCGCATACGGTCCGCCATGTGTTTTTCATTAGACTGAAAAAAGACCAAGTTTTTTTCATTGAGTTTATTCCTCGCATACACCTTTATCGTCTTGTTTGAACACATCATATAGTACCTTACGACACTTAGGTATCACTGTCGATCATGCGTGGCTGCTTATACTCACGTTTCGTGATGCTTCTTTAAATCCTGTGAGGTTGGCTGCGCGTTCTGACATGGCATTTAACTGCGATGCCACCTCCACGATATATTGATTGGTAAACTGTGAATAACTTTCCATCTCAAGAGTTCGCAATGTACTGTTAATGGTCATCTCTTCCAACAGTTTTTCGATAAGAACAGAGTCGTCTTCTTCACTTGGAAAACTCTAGGGTTAAAAAGGGTAACTTGCAAGATCAGATAAGTAAACATAACTGGCTGTCTTCTTTTAACGAAAATATATAAAACCGATAAACTATCTTATGCTCCGAAGAGTAGCTTACAATAAACCAACTTGCCGCATTTCAGAATGATTTGTCATCGACCCTGGAAATGTCGACAAAAACGAGCAACAATTTCTTTAGTTTTCAGTACCAGATTCGTGTTCAAAACATCAATCATTTGGAGGCCATGCCGGTGTGCCCTTCTCTGACAGTCATACATTCCCAACTCCATGGCGTGTTTCTGCGCTTTTTTCAAAGTTTTGTACTTTTTTTAAAAATGATCTATATCACTGAAAATTTTGCCCAAGTTTTGTTGGGTTTGCTCCCTTGATGTGCTAGAGATTAGACCATGATGGCCGTAGACTTGGTTAGGCAAACTGACTTCAGTTCACTTTTTGTAAGCAGACACCTACAGCTACCTCTTGAGGCCGGTGCTTAGATCATAAGGAGATTCCGAGACTGGAAGTGATGCACCTTGCGACCAGATACAACTCACATCCACACTTCTCCTCGACCAGTAATCTAAGCAATTATTATGGAAAAACCGAGGAAGCTAAGTAACCTTACTCGAATCTCGCATTTACAAGTTGATCTCACTACAACACAAAATCATTCGAATCCAATGCAGGTTCAACATAAGGGGAGAAGGGAGAAGCTTATTCCATTTACTATTACCACAATTAAAATTTCCCTCCAGTCTATTGGATAGAGGTAACTGTTTACAAGGAACGGGGAAATTTGGAAAGGTGTAATTGGAATCGACTACTTTCCATGTACAAGAGCATCACAATGACCAACGTAACTAGAAGTTTTTTGAGTGCACGAACAATATCTTCCCTTCATGCAAGTCCATGAAACCAGCAGAAACAGGTTACTATCAGAACCCAGTGAGTTTTACCTGATACTCAAACTTGGCCTCTGATTTACTCCCAAGCTCGTCTGAGATGATAGCCTTTAGATACAGCGTGTAGTTATACTCCCTCAATCCAAGTGGCAACCGAATGTTCCCAATAGTTCCGTCCCTTGTGTATTGAAACAAATATTCTGCACCATCTGGCGAGGTTTTGTAGAAGTAGTCATACATTAACTTAGTCGAGCCCGAGGAGCTAGTCCAGCCGTTACAACTCAGAGTGATAAGTACTTCATGACCACTGCCATCTCCTTTAATCGCGTGACACTCCCCACCGGTGGGAGGGGAGGCTGTAACAAACACATACTCAGCAAAACCAGTGGCACCTTCACCAAATCGGCCTGGAACAAAAGTTAAAAAGGAACAATAAAAACTTTAGGGCGAAAGTATCTTGATAAGTGAAATGCTTTCGTATTTTTTAAGGAAAAGGATTATTTTTCAGAGGATCTTTGAGTAAGTCACTTTTTCTGAAGTTGCTATATACATTTCCCCTTCTTTTCTTTCTGTTTGCTCCACCAAAATCATAATTCTATTGAATAAATGTTAGCTGGTATCTAAGCAACTGCACACTTACCCCTCCCCTAACCCAACCGCAGTCAATTGATAACAATTTAAGGTTAATGTTGGGTTAAGGGTTAATAGTTGTTCAGATATTAACACTGATCCATTCTATCATTGTACTTTATACACGAGGGACTTAATTCAAACCTATACGCATTTGTTAACGGCCACAATTATACCTTCTTTGAGGCTTTAGATTATACAGAAACGAGGTTGATAAAGAAGCAGCTTTATCAGAATTACCTTCGACTCTGGCAGTATATGAAACTCCACTTTCCAGACTGTTCGCCCTTAAGATAAGGAACTCAGAAGCGATGCCTGCTCTCGTCATAGCCAAGAGATTTGCTACTCTAGTCCAGTCCGTTACTGTATGGTCAGCCATTTCTATCGCACTGTGTGCATTTCCATCCCCGTAACCTTCACCAGTGACCCACAAACTCCATGAAATCGTTAAGCTGTTGATATCCTGTTGGTTACAGCCTTTGCATACTCCCTCCAAAGACAGTTTGGCAGACGGATTCTCTTTTCCTGGAAATTCATCGTAAGGTTTCCTTTCAAAAAGTACAAAGAAGATTTTGTTAGCTCACCGTAAGATGAGCCTATGTTGGAAATAAACGAGTAATTTGAACTACCCACCTTATGCTCATCGTAGGCGGGTCTTCATATGTCAGGGAGACACGAACAAAAAACATGGCCATTCGGGAGTCTTTTGTTACGAAGAATTTAAATACATACGTCGTGTTTACCCATAGTACATTCGGTTGGATCTCTAGAATGTCTGTGCTAACTGACAGAAGTCTGGTTCCATTTCTAAAGCACCCTCTCGAATCAGTGCCATCACTATTTGTGAAATTTTTACTCGGAACAGAGGGAAATTCGTAATTTTCAGCTGTCGTCTTGCAGTACCAAAAGTACTCAAGACCACGTTTGTCCTCTGATCCATAATCAGGATCATGTGAATGTGAAGCATCAAGGACTATTTTTTTGTACACCGACTGACTCCAGGCATTTCCACTTATGATTTTTGCGAGTAACGGCGACGGCATTATCTCGATGTACGCGTTCTTGTGTCTGTGAACAAGAGGCAGCCCAACCATACTCACATTGAGTCGGACCATGAAAGTTCCGTACGGCAATGATCGCTGCGGTACAATTAACACGGATTGATTCTTGTCAAAACTATCTGTCCGAAGAATGGTGCCATTGTCAGCTCCAGACGAAATCCGTGTGAGTTCCCAATGAAATGATGTCTCTCTTGATGCCAAACAGTTAATAGTGCAGCGGGATTTGATTGTTACGTAATCTGCTCTGAAATACTTTCGGCGAGTGCCAAATGATCGTCCAGCATCTGGTATTCGTACAACGGGGAAGTCACAAGGAAGGTGCAAGATAACCACCCAGCCGTGAATAGTAACTCTAGACACGGAATTGAGAGCTGTTAGATTCACAGCGTAATTTATTTTCTGCCAGTACTCAAAAGTGATATTGAAGTTAAGGGATGGTAGAACTCTAACATCGTTTGTTTTCTTCAGCTCGTCATCACAACTCACATTACTGAATCCTTTGTAAAGAATTCTTGTGCTGTTACCCAAGTCTACCAGGAAACAGGAATCAGTACCTCGCTGTCCGATCGTAATAAACAACGTGGTGTTGAACTCATGCACCGTTGGGCTGTCGTTTTCAAACGAAACATTAAATATACTCTTCATTATTCTTATCGTGCGACTGACACTTGCATCACTAATAGAGTTCTTTGCCTCTACAGTGACTGCAAATCCCTCTGGGCTGAGGTAACGGTGTAATACATTTATTTTCTTAGTTTCAACCGAAGTTCCATCTCCAAAATCCCATCGGTAAGTTACTGCTGTTCCGTCTGAAATGTTGGCAACAAGCAGAACGTCGTATTCCATTGGAAAGTCCGCCTTGTTTGGTCCTCTTCCCGGGGCACCATATCCGGCGTCTCCATCAGTGTGGTAAGCCAAAATCTGCAGGTCTTTAATACTCCGCTGAACGTCCACCACATGCGTTAGATTGACGGAGCTAACATCATTTCTCATGGTCATATTTACTCGTATCATCCCAGGGGTTATGTAGTTGTTGATGATGTTGATGCCTTGCGCCTCTCCGAGAGGTATGTTCATCCTGCTCGTACTGTCACCAAAGTCCATGTCTATCGTAGCATTTGTAGGTGGGTGAGTGTCCGGTTTTACAGACACCGTGAACGTTACAGTGCCCGGTGGAATTTCCTGTGGACTGTCTGATGTGATTTCAATGTCTTTTACAATATACTGCACGTAAAGATATTTGGTAACTGTCACTTTACTGACGGGGTTTGAGGCTGTGACGTTTAGAAGGTAAGCTCCATGGTCTGTATATAAATGTTCCAAAAAGTCACCGAGTAACCTTAAAGAGTCTCCGGTAAACAGTGAAACGGATCTCCGTCCATCTTCAAAGTCCCAGTCCAAAGTTATGTTAGTCCCGGCATCTATCGATATCCCACATTTAATGGTTTTGTTTACAGGAATGAAAGTATCGTTATTAAGCAGACGAAGGTTGGCGATCACTTTATCGACCTTGATCTCACGGGTGTAAATCTGTTGTGGTGTTACCAGATTAGCGACTTTCACCGTCAAAAGGTAAATTCCAACAACTGGAAATTTCTGTGGGCTTATAGAAAACGTTGGTGACTTATGATCTGTAAAGTTGGTCAGTCGTAACGTGAGATTATCAGCATAAATATGTTTCAAACTGATCTCAAAATTCATTCCTGTTCCAGTTGCGACTTGCACGTCCAAGTTTAAAGCTTCATCAACGGATTGTGCCTCTGGGCACGTTACAACAAAGCCTGTGATTGGTTCCTGTACAATAGCATTTCCTATCACAGTTGTGTTATACAAACGGTTGCTACAATTAGTCCTGATGGTAAAATTTCCAACGTCCGAGTAGTTATTTGCAACTGGTAGTGTCAGATTCCAGTAATGGCTTTTACCTTTTTGGCTATTGGCGCCAAAGTCCCAGTCGCACCAAAAATCGTTTCCGCCCGTCACATCCAACATGCAGAAAGTTGGCGTGGACAGGTTGGCAAGAGGGCATGTTATGTTAAAGCCTGTCAAAGGATACACAGGCTTATGGACAAAGATGTTTGGTAAGCAGGTTCTCTTACTGACAGAGTTAATGAATGTCAGGTTTGCAGTGTAACTACCATATGTGGAGTAATTGTGTGACACTACCAAGGAGTACATTGGCCGACAAGTGTCACTGCAAATGAGTGTCTGAGTTGGTACACCAGTGGTTTTTGAACTATCTGCGAAATCCACCAGCGCCATAGAGTTACTTCCTTGAGGAAACGTGGCATTAATTTGAATAGTTTCATTCACTTCGATATCACGAGCAGCGTGGATAACTCTACAGGTAACATTTACTATGGGAGCAATGACGACTGCTACACCAGTGACAGTTTCAGTCGACACAAAATTATAAGCTGTCACATTCACAGTAAAGTTTCCCTCTCTTGAGTATTTGTGTAGGTACGAGCCGACTAAAATTCCTAGCTTTCTAAACGAACCTTCAAAGTAATTTCCGTCACCAAATGAAACCAGGTAACTAATATTTGTTCCTCTCTCTACGACCCAACTGATTTCCGTGTCATTGCCAAGCGAAGTTAAAGTGATGTTAAAGAGGTAAACTTCTTCTACGGGAATCATAATTTCGACTTGACACTTGCGCATCGCTGATGACAGGAGATTGGAAGCTGTCAAAAGTAAGGTGGTCTGGCTCTCCCTGTCTATTCTTAATGGAAGAGATTTTGAGACGTTCGTCCAAGAATAAAAGAACTCTTTCTCTTCTTTTTTGTACAGAACGTTTGACGAATTTTCCTCCATAATTTGAATTCCAAACGTGACGTTGTGTCCGGGATGCGGAGGTACAACGATATTAAAGGTTTTATTCTTTGGAACGAAATCAGGTACCTCCCAAGTAATATTTTTCATGCTAACACAGGCCGTGATGTTAAGTTCAATGCTCCTCCATGCGACAGATCCTTGTTGTTTCCAATGACCTACTGGATAGTTTCCTAAAGAAACCACCATTTCTGATGGGGGAAGATAAACGACCACAAGATGGAACGTGTGATGTATCTCAGTAAAGGCTGCGTTGTTTCTCCCTAACACTACCTCTCCAACTGAAAGGTGATGTTGGTAAAAAATAAAAGCATTTCCTGCTGATTCCGTCGAGATTATCCCTGCAGCGATGTTTTGAATTGCGCCAATAGACACAATATCTGCTGTACGCACCATGAAACCCGGTTGGTTGACAATCGTAATGTGAAACCCTTCAGGTAAGTAAAGCGTCGAAGTATAAATTACTTCATAATGTGTACTTAAGGTTGAATTCGAGGTTTGGTTTGCTGGGCAGGTAAGCAGACCCATCTGACAATCGATACTTTGACCACAGAAAACGTTGGCTGCTGATGAACATTGGTAGCCAAGGTTACTAAGAGAGCACTCAGGAAGTTTGGTTGTACAGCTTCCATTTTGAAAACAATATTTGTTCTCCGCGGGTAGAATGCAAAGAGGACGGAGAACCTGCCAATCAAAATGGAGAATAATTGCCCACAAACGATGCAATTAATAAGAATAAGGTCTATTGCGCTTAAAATTGACGAATGAAAAAAAAAATTCCTGAATGTAAAAATAAATTTCCTCGCCAGGATTTTCTTGATGACATCATGATATTGAAAGCTGTATGGGTAATGAATATGATGTGCCAATAACTTCTATGCATAGTGAAAAATCTCGTTTTTTCGAGCAGATACAAAATTTCTGCATTGTTACAATTGTTCCAACTAAAAACCGTAAAAAAGCGCGTGACATGAAAACATCATTTAGCAAAGGGGCGAATAACGAGAGTGTTATAATCCGAGAAAGAGAAATACAATTTTTTTGACAGCCCTTTTGATTTTAGTGTCTCACTTGTTTTCAGCTGGAACCCCTAAAGCTGACGGAAATGATCAAATTTGGAATCTTGTTGGTGGTTAGCTTGTTGAAGTTTTCTTTGAACTCGTTAGTAAAAGCTTATTTCCACATACGTGCATTCGATGTGGTGCCTACCTGCAACTCGATGTATCCAGCACGAGTGGTATTGGATTTCATTGCCACCAGTCTTCCAGTTTTACCAAAGTAATAATTTGGTAAAATGATGGTTTTGTTAGCATCAGATAAATTGAATTTGGGTTCACTTGATGGGAGTGGTGTTTTATATCCGACCATTTGTGGAGTCGAGTCTGAAGAACGAAAAAAAAAAATCTTACTCGTTGTTGAAGCTTTCTTGGTTCACCTGTAAGGAAATTTAAGGCAAGAAGATAAAAAATAAAAGAACTTTGAATGTATAGTCCTCCATGGGTAATTTTTTTGTTAAATTTGTGTCAAATCCTTGAACTGAATAAACTTCAGCATTTTATTCAAGCTAATATAGCCTCTTGAAGTCCTATAAACTCTTGCATCGTAACATTAAAAAAACACATCTCATGTTGCCGTGGTTCTGTTCAGTAATAAATCAAAGGTGACGTCGAAATAAGGTAAGGGCTAAAAAAAGGGACACGAGGCTCAGCCGAGTGTGTCGCTAGTGTTGTTACCACATTTGCAAGTCTTCTGTTATCTGTAACTGAAAGACGCACAGAAACACGAATTCTATTTGTTTCATATGCTAAGAAAGCAAAATTTTGTTAGTTGTGACGTCATCTGTGCGTCTGTCCTCCTTTAGATTATGAAAAAGAACCAATCAAAATGCGTTTATGAATTAACCCTTTCAACCCTAAGAGTGACTAGCGCCAAATGTCTCCCTACAATATCACCCTTAAATCACACGTTAAAGTCATGAGAATAAAGGAAATGATCACCAACGAAAGAAGCTTTTGATTACTAAACAAATTCTCCTTGGCAGCACCTTGGGAAATGTATAAAGAACAGTAGGGAGAATATGTATGCTGATTTTAGGGCGTTAAGGGTTAAGCCATCGTATAATACTGAATAAACGCGCGGCCAAGTGAAATCTATTTACTAAATAGATGTACCTTCCATTGAACCATTGACGACCTCGCCGAGCGGAGTTGTAAATTGCATGTCCATATTTGATCCAGTTCCAACTTTCAGACTGCACTCAAAACTCGACCACGCCTCCACTACGCTCGGACACTGTACCTTTACTCCAGTGACCGGAAGGGATACATTAATGGTTTTCATGTCGTAGATTTTTTGACACTGCCCGTAATAACCAATCGTTGTTTCTGCATAAACCTAAAGGGTAAATTTCTATTAAATTTTGGCATCAACGTAATCCCTTAGTCGAGTAGTTACATAAATGATTTAAATTAAAAGCCAAAACATATAGTTTTCCTTTGAATTACATAACAAGTAGTTTCCGCTAAAACAATTCAGTAATTTAGTAGCACCAATATCAAGATGTTTCGGTCGTATACTATTGGGATCAAACAGTTTAAGATTGGGTTTTCTTAGCTTTTCCTTTCCTTATTAAGTAGTAAAGTTTCAGGTTGATTTAGCTGATCAGTACCGAGTACCGGCGGCGACCGCTGCCATTTTCGTTCACTTTTTTAAGACGCGTCTGATACCGCCCGTGACACTCGCTATCTACATAAGTAAAACAACGAGTTATTCGTGTTCTTTTGATATTCGTGTTCTTTTGATATTCGTGTTCTTTTGATATTCGTGTTCTTTTGATATTCGTGTTCTTTTGATATTCGTGTTCTTTTGATACGCTGGAAACGGGAGGCGAAGTCATAAAGCGAAAAAGCTGTTAGAATCGCCTAATAGGACGGAAAATGGGCGCCATAAGTTGTCTCCCTTGACCTTATGATCGCAAAAAAAAAAAAAATGATGACGACTATTCCCAGGAGTCAACACGTTTAAAACCGAAAACTTTTGTTGATTTGTTCTCCTGAGGGACTTCGATCGTCTCTCCCTAAATCAATTGCGGTTGAAACAGATTATCTTAATAGAACACGTCTTGTGTTCCACTTTCTATGAACCCCGCACTAATACAAAAGAGTACCTCGTGTAATCCCAGAGTGGTGTATACATATTCGATACTTGAATTCTTGGTATATATCACTGTTCCATCGCCAAAGTTTAGCATCACTAGAGAACCATAATTTGGTGTCACCATAATCTGCACTCTCTCAAAAGCCTCAGAGGCGCTTGTAACAGACAAAGCCAAAGGGAAATCATATTGTCCAGGGGCGTAGTAAACGCTGAAGTATAAGTTGCTCCCACATTTGAGTGCTTTGTCTCCTTCACATGGGTAATAACATGCAGCATCGTCTGTCACCTTATCGACATCAGGCGAATTGTTAGAGCAGTGACACTGAGTTCCCTGTGTGATGCGTGCGTATCGTTTACCTGCCTTACCACACGCAGTGACACAACGCTCTGGAGTCAGTTTGGATACGACGGTGTCGTTTGATAAGACCATGTCACTTGGCGAGGAAAAGCAACCCAAGTAATTAACGGCTGTATCAGTGAATGTGGAGAAGAAAAGAACGAAAGTTAAGTGGTGCAGACAACTTTTCCAAAGATTTACTAATGTTAAATTCTTTGGCAAGGGGATGTCATAATCAAGTCAAAATATCCTTATCTGGCAGATGTTTAATTGACCTGTAAACAAAAAAGAGGTCGCCTTCTTGGGGAAGTAAAAGTTAAGTGAATAAAATAAGGCGCTAAACATCAGGCAAGAATTTCAGTCATTCAGTCCTTGTAGGGGACAATAAGCACAACTAATGAAAGCTGGCCTAACAAATAACCCTTAAATCTTACCATTCTTACTGGCTACTACGTCAATCCTCAAGGCGATGGCATTATGCCAAGAGAAAGGATGGAAACGTAACACTCGGGCCGTTAGGTCAGGACACAGGAAGTTGGACACTATAGTTTCCCCATCGTGATTTCCGAAAAAATACTGCGAAGGACAAATGATGTTAATAATGAAAATTGCAGCGGAGGGAAGCTTCCTGGAGACTGCACTACTGAAGACTCAAATAGTACAAATCGGTGCCAAAATTAGTTGACACATAACATCCATGTAACCGCTTTAAAGGATATATTTAGGAATTAGTCTTGAATTAAAGTGTAATTTGCTACAATACCTCCCTCCCACTATTTAGTGTTGTGAAATCACAGACGGAAAACAAAGTCCAAATTTTTCTGGTGGAAAGGGTGGATGGAAGTAAAGGCATCAGAGGTAAAATTGATATGCTATTCCAGAATATTGGGATTTCAATAGCAATGTGTCGACAAGTTTGTCGCTGATGACAGGTACTGAGCTGAAGTTTTCATCTTCTGTACCTGTCGTGATTAAGAGAACGCACTGATCGTGGTGGCAAGGATGGCGGTTATGAGAGTGACGGCAGCGATGATGGTGATCATGATGATGAAGATGATGATAATGGCCATGGTGAGGGGCAGAAATATAACGACAAAGGATAGGATTCGATGATGATCATGACAAAGCTGATGGAGATAATGAGGATAATAAGGATGGCGCGAACATAATGATACGTTACAGAATAAAGTAGCCTTACCTTAATGCTGCCATTGGCTATGTAGTCCGACCAAATGCTGCCACAGAGACTGTAAGAGAGTGTGTACAATGTCACCCACTCGCCACAGTTACACTCCCACTCGTTCCTTCCTTGAGTCATGATAGCACTGATGTTCCTGACTTGAAGAAGATCGACTTGAAGATATTGAGACTTTGACTGAACATTTGGGATCCATGATCCTGAATTGACAACCAAAACGTTGTTGTTGTTGTTGTTGTGATATTGTTGTATGGGGACTAAAATGGTGCATTTTACTTGTGTGAAAAACCTACAATATCTAAAATGTACACCAACACAGATTTGAAACGAATATATTCGCTTCTGAAACGCAGTTTAATCCAAATTGATAACAATACTACAGTTAAACCATTAACATAAGGTCATCTTAGTGGTAACATCTTCCTTATGTTTTTCTTTTAGAGTTTTCGTTTGGAAGAAAGGGAAAGAAGGGGGCTTAACAGAAACAAAAAGTCCTTGACAAAGGGCTTATTATTAAAAGAGACTTAATAAAGAACGGGGAATTGGATCTCATCGGAGCCCTCACCGTAGTTTTTATTATTATTATTATTATTATTATTATTATTATATTTTATTTTTATTTTTTTTTTATCAATTAATCCCCTACCCGAGAACAAGCCTGGTTGGCTGACACGAGCCCTTCCTTGGTGAGGACCTGATTGTTGGTTGAGGCTGGATGAAGCAATGAACTGGTCATCAGGGACAATTCCTGTAATGACACCATACGACTCAGGATCTGTGTCTATAGGAAATAAAGAAACAAACAGGTCGCTGTATTAGCATGTTTTGTAAGTAAGACCTGCACATCATCTGATTCCAATCATGAGTGCAATATTAGCTTGCATCCCATCGTGCTGCACTATAACCCTTGCTCAACCCTTACACCTGAAGCATTAAACCTGAAGTTGATTATAACAGACGAAAAAAAGGGCTTAAGAGCCGTGCATGATTTGCGACGAACGTTTTTACCATCATTTGCAGATCTAAAATCTCACCTGAGACAAGATTAGTGCATTTTCCGATCCTTTGAATCTGCGACGAACTGAGAAACCTTTCGTATACAACAACGTGGCTCATATAAAGGGAAGATTTCGTTAGTCCTCGACCAATGGTTAAAGGATTGTCACCACTACTAGATGTCAAAGAATAATCTACACCACCCTGTTTCACATGTACAAAGTTCACAATAGCTATGAAGCCATTGCTCTTTGCCCACGTGAAAGCCACGTGATGCCACTGATGGAGTGTGACGTCAAAAGTGGCCGACCACGTGTTTCCAGAGATGAAAAAGGCACCCGTTATGTTATTCGACTGTACTGTTATGGAAATGTCTGTAAAGTCTTTAGCGGAGTATAACAGCCACTGAGAGTCAGCAATATTCTCAGTTAGTTGGAACCAAAATGCTACAGTGAGACCGTCATAGCACTGTTGAATATCACCAAGGCACGTTGATGAAAGGTTCCGTATCAAGGCAATGGGTCTAGGAAAACAACAGGAAAATCTCGGTCAATAAACTCAGTGGCTGATAATTCATTACCCTTTCTTTTAGAATAATCTGGGGCGATTTCTTTTTTTATTACATCCATTTTGAAATCACTGGTGGTCCCTGTAATCTGACTGGCTCTAATTGATGCAATTTATTCACAAATCGCACCATTTTTTGTTTAAATCCCATCTTTTTCCCAGCCAATGAGGAGGCTTCACTAAAAACAAAACAACCAATCACATTTTAAGGCTTGTTTAAAGTAACCAATCAAATTGCAAGAAAATGAAAGCCAAAGAGTATCGTATGGCAAATTTTGTAACTTTTCTTTCCAAAACTCTTATTCCCCCCCCTCCCCAAAAAAAGGGATGAATTTAATTTCAAACCGGCCCAGAACTGCATCAATAAAATATTTGAACTGACCAAGTCCTGTATTTGGGCGATCTCAAAATGGATGTAATAAAGTGGTAATTGAACCTCGTGTCGTGCAATTTTGGTCTGAAATCATACTTGTGATTTCAAATCATGCGTATGATTTCAGCCCAAATTGCACTCCACTCAGTTCAATTATCATTACTTACCAAGCACTAGAAATGCGCCTATGAAATCGGAAAGATACATAACGAAAGATTGAAATAACTTCTCAAAGATTTCATTCTGCTCTTCGTTTTGAATGAAAGCTGATGTTTATTATCATTGTAATAATTATTATTATTGACGAAATAATACGAATCAAAAGGGATGTATGTATATGTGTGTATATATATATATATATATATATATATATATAAATATTATGAGAGGAAAAAAACGACGCAACTACATATCCCGACAAGCCTGTTTCGTGAATCGCTTCACTCTTCAGCGATTCACGAAACAGGCTTGTCGGGATATGTAGTTGCGTCGTTTTTTCCTCTCATAATATTTATTCTGCTCTACTTCAACGTATTGAGCACTCTTCCACGCGAAAATCGACCGGCAGACTTCCTATATATATATATATATATATATATATATATATATATATATATATATATATATATATATATCTGGCATGGCTTAGATGATTCTACATGTGTGAGATCACTTGGGGTGGCTATATGGCCTTACCTCCATCCTAGCATCAGCATTGCAGTGATGAGGCCCAGAAGGCCGAAACAGTACTGTCTGCAGTTAGTTATATACATATATATATATTTATATAATTGTTTGCCATGATGGTAATTAAGGCACAGGATAATTTACATATCCTAAGAATCACGGAGATGGTAATTTGGAGACAGCCCATGACACCCGCTCTCCCTGATAACATACACCTTGTTGAAACCTAATTTACTTTGCAAGGCAAACTTTTTTGTGAGACAAAGTACCATCCAACACTTCGTTTTTTCCCATACAGTACGATCCTTAAAGAGGTACACACTTACCCAGATTTAAATAGATTTAATGCAGCTGAACTCACAGAGTGCCATCTTGGACCGCTGACCCAAACATCGCTTTTTATCAGAGTTGTGTTTACTTTACCATCACTTCTGCCTTGTACGTCGTGTAAGACTTCGCCGATTGCTTTGTCTAATGGCCAGTAGTAACTAGCATCATTATGACACTTGTCTAAAGTGATGGCAACGAAAATAAAGTAAAAGTTTCAATACCTATCTGTGGCCAGTTTGGAGTGAGTTAGTGAGCTGCTTATGAGTTTATAAATCTCTCTCTTTGCGCATAACTACGACTTTAAATCTCACCAATTTGCCGCAGAATCCAGTCAGCAGTTAGCTTTCTCTTAACCTTCTAACACCGGTGGTTAGTTTTAGTGTTATTGTATTATTCATTTATGTTTGGTTGGGTTGCAAGTGATCTGTCTTGTTTAGAGTGTGTCTTTCTCACTCTCCCGGGAAGAAGGTGAAAAGGGGAAGTCCCTAGCAACGACAAAAGTTATTGAGTCGAAGATGTGCAATGATTTATCCCTGTCCATTTTCTAGGATACAGTTACTATATAAACGTGAGGTTTACCTCTTCTATTACACAGCAGAATGGTCTTTCTATTCAGTGGCTTTTCAAACTTGATGAAATGAATGATTTGGTGATTGACCATGTCGTCGAATTTCAAAATTACATCATTTCCTGAGCCAAGAATAACACTCGTGCAGCGGTAATTTACCCAGAGTGTGCGCCAGCCTACACCCATGACATCGCTAAAGTTCCTCTGCTGTAATAATGTCTCTGCATCAGAAACTACACGAAATAATTTAACATAGATAGTACTAATCTTGAAAATGTATCCATCGTCTGAGTGGGATTTGGTGGTGAAGCGAACATTTACAGGTTCTGGTATGTCCATTTGGATGCTGAACATAACAGTGTCGTCAACAAGGGCGATGGGACCGCTGTCATTAGAAGGGAGAAGGTTGATGAGGTCACATTGTCTATCTGCAAGGTGAGATTACAGAGAATTCTTAAGCCAGATAAATGTGCAACATCCTCTATCACAGATCTTGTGCTGATTGAGCTACTAAGACAAAGAGGAAATGGGTAAGGCAGCGGATTATTGATGGACTTCCTACCCGACTCATTCCTCCATTTTAATGTGCCCCACATCTAAGTATGTATTGGCATCATTTTTCGCACCAAACCCAAATACAAACACTACCAATGAAATTCTAGCTGCAGTCTTCACAGCCATTATTTGATGGAGACTTATAAAGTCAGCATCGATTGCACCGCGGCTAAGGTTGCCTAAAAAGCCTATTTACCTCTAATGCAGTGATCGTGGTACACCTCTATTTCTCTGAATCCACCAGCTGTAGTAGAGAATATCTGAACCCATTTTACAACACGCGGTGTAAAGGTAATCTCTTCCTTAACTGCGTTGGGTTTTAAGGTTATCTGCATGAGATTTAAGAAGTTGTTGTGAACACTGTAGAGAAGTTTCTTGCACTATGGAGCTACTGTTTGGATTAATTGGGTTGACATGCACGTGTCCAGGGAGTCAGTCAAGCATTCCTCCCGCCGGTGATAATGATGTTTTCAAATTTATTCAACATGGTGTTGTTATGCACAATCCGGTTATTTCGTAGTTAGCAGTGGAATCTTGTTACAAGCAAATGCAATGACAGTTTAAACGTTGAGTCACTACCGCACTCCTGTCGTTAGCAGACGGTATCCCCAGCTTTAGAGTGCTTCTTTTGTTCTATAGCGATTTAATTTTTGGCAAGAATGCCATTGATTGGAGGTGGGAGACAGGAGTACGACAACGGCCTATACTCCAGTGAAATCTATGAGAATAACTACAAAATTATTGCGTGGCGATTAAGAGAAAAAAACACTTTTCCATCTCAAAGAAGGCATTATGATTCATCCTCGTAAAACAGAAAAAAAACTTACTGATTCTAATGAGGAATCTGAGAAGTTCAAACATATATCACTGATCTGTGGATTCGGGCTGCCCAGTTGTATCACCAACTTGTTAACGAGAAAATCACGAGCAAATGTGATCTTAATGAATCGCTCGGTACTTCCAGTATCAGTTCTTCCATCAATGGCTCCGCCACATTCTGGGTTAGACCTTGGCGTACAAGTTGCACCATTCCTCTCTGCGGCAACGTTCAAATGGGTACACTGAAGCCAACCTGGAAAAATGGAGTAATCTTTCAAGGCCGACTATTTGAACAAAGTTTTGTCGTTGTACTGAGCCATATTTATCTCAACGTTAATTTTTGTGAACAGTGTCAGGACGGCTTACTGCTAATACTAAAAGGAAAGTCTTACTTCAAAAAATCAATCGTCTAGAAATCTGATCCATGGTCCATCGACTACTGACCTACCACCGCGGTATTTTTACACGGCCGACTCCCTGCCTTCGGCCTGAGCTACCCCTGGGTTTTTTCCAACGACAGCCATTCCCATTGTCCCCTTGGGAATTACGAGAATTTAGAAGTTGAGGCATGACCCTAGGTTTACAACGAATAAATAATTTTACAGATTCAATTTCGACAGTCATTAAACTTCATGATCTTTGGAAACTGATCTTTCTTCACGTTTCTACTATATTACTGAACGCTTTATCATAGAGATCTAAATTTACTTAATTTTAAAAGCCATCTAAAAAGCTATAGTTGGTTAACCGACAACTAACGTCAGAGCTTGTGAATCTTCGTGAAAGAATGTCAGAGAAGAAAATGAGTACATGAAACCCTTAAGTTAATCACTGAGAGGTCCGTATTAAGAATTATAGGGAAAAGTCTTGCAGTTAAGATAAACGGTACATACAACCTGATTGACTCGTTTAGTAAGCAAATTTTTAACTATTAAAAGTAACAATGCTATAGAAGTTTCCTTGTTGTTGAGGTCCACCTCCCCTCCTACCTTTTCAAAATTCTAGGATATTTCACGACGGAAGACTCCGAAGATGTTCCGAAATTACCAGAATTTTCCGCCCCTATAGATGCTAGAGCCTCAGAGGGTCATTAACGTAACTTCTTAGAGTTAAAAAAACAAAACAAAACAAAGTGAAGACATTTAAAAAAGGATGGAATGAGCAGTCCTGATTTATTAGTAAGGGGAAATTAATCTTTTTGGTTTGTGTAAGATCGATGTTTTGAATGGATCCACTTTCGCGAGAATTAGCCCTAGGAGGGTCAGCGGGTATTAAAAAATTCTCATGCAACGAGCAACTTGTTGATATTTCGGTCTTAAACACTTTAAAAGGTGACAGGATAACTCCAGAGGCTGTAACCATTCTGAGCGGCACCGAATTTGGTCATTTTAACATCAAAGTCCAAAACAATCTTTGCAGCCTCTGCCATTTCGAACTGTTACTTTATCTCTGTGTAACAACCAGCGGAGTGTCTTTTTCTTTAGTCGCTCTAAGTGGCTTCTTTGTTTTCTTTGTCCTAGGTCACTCCTGAACCTAACAGATTCTTATACCGAGGATGATCCGTTTACGCTATATACAGTCAAATATGACGTAACTTCGCACCATGATTAAAAAATTTAATCAGAGATCGATTAATAAAAATGGACTGGAAGCTTTCTCTTCAACTAACTTTAGTAGCAATATGTCTTTTTCAGTTATTTTTCCCTTTCTTTCGGTTTGGCTATGTTCGTTTACTTTGTTTAGTTTTATTTCATTTTTTGTTTTGCTTTTGTCGTAGCCAGGTTTTTATAGTTTTCAACTGGACCGAAGCCTTATATTCCGACCGGTAAAAGCGAGGAGTAGCAGTAAGAATTCATGTCATGATCGAATTCTTAAGGTATTTGAGCTCCACGGTTCATTGTTGAGCTACAAGGTTTGTGTTGGTCGATGGCCGAAATCAAACAAGAAATACATTGGATTGTAAACACACCTGAATGGTTTAATCCGCTATCAAGAAATCACACTACCCGAAGACTTACATGGAATTGAGGTGTGGTACCACAGGATACCCACCACTACAAGATTAAAGTTCTAGAGCAGCTGTGGGCGTTAAAATGAATAAGAATTGCTTGAAGAGAGGCGTTGTTTCAAATACAGTCTACTCCGGTTGATATTTACAAACGTTTACATCACTTGATGACTTAATTCTTTTAACTGTTCTCGTAGCTTCTCGATCACCGCTCAAGGAAAAATGGCGAGAATGTGCAAGGAAAGTTGCGTCTTCTTAAAAGGAACGTTTTTACTGTATTGGGATAAATTTTCTCTGCAGTCGAATTAGACCTAAGGTCAAGACTTTACTCAAGTAGTAGAAGAAAAACCAAATTGGGGCGAACACGATGGTATATGAAGAGTATGGATTTAAAAAAAATGAGCTTTGACAAAATAGAACGTCATGGTCGAGCTAAGTATTCAATTTGGATGTGAGTGTTAGGGGGAAAAAATAACTCTTGACTCTTTGGTAACAATCCATATACAATACAATGCTTATAGTTCCTGTATGGACTACAACACATATTACTTACTGTGGTTCTCTGGATTTAAGAAACACTTTTTTTTAATTATTATTTTTTGAACATGATTAACATCTGCCATTTTCACACCTGTTTTAAAATGGGAATTATGTAACTAGTGTTTCTGGCAAAGACAGATAAAGAAATAAGTTTTTCTTATTCAAATAGTAATCACATACTATAACAAAAGAGGCTCCAGACTTCCACCAAACTGTCCCAATATTTTCTCCCCGTTTCCCACGCAAACAGACAAGCTGATTCCCGATGCTTTGAAAGGAAAATCCTTGTTGTTATTTTCAAATTTTCGTATTCGTTTACTTTGTCAAATCCTGGCTTAATCAAGTCGTCATCTTACTTTTTGAAATATCTGATCATGAGTACGATGAAACGAAACGTGTATTTGTCAGTCTAGCTGTTAATAGTAGCAGTCGCATATTCCACTGTATTTGTCCCCTGTTTTCTAAACAAAACCATAAGAAGTGTTATCGAGTTTGAATTAAGTTTAAAATTAAAAAAAGTCAGGATTATCAGGTTTTTATATTTCGTGTTACAGAAATATGTTCCTTCCCTCTCGATCGGTGCTCACAAACTATATACAAAATTTAAGCTAAAAAAAAAAGTTTATTTTGACATCTCTTTTTAACATATATTGCTCAATCTTACGGTTATATGAATCTTTTTTTTTTTTCATATCGCCATTAATTTCCACTAAATTTGAAAATTCGAACGGTCAAAAGTTTGTGGGGACGTCCTGAGTTCAAGCAACAACAATACCTTTTGACTTTGAAAACTTTATTCCTGAGTGGAAAAAATGGAAACTTAAGGTTATTGCATGTTTCGTTTCTTTGCGGGCAAAAGAATTCAAGCGAGGTAATTTGACAAAAGAAATATTGAAAAGAAAAACAGCTTAGCAGGGAGGAAAAGCTAAAATTCACTCAAACAATATACCGCATTATTTATTTATCACCCTACTCTGAGTTTTTCCAAATCGATCTTTCGAGTGGACTATAGATTTAGTTTGAAAACGTTTTTGCCTTCAGAAAGACAAAAAAATTGAGATTTGGAATTGCCGTTTCACTGAAAATCAAAATAATGTAGAAGGAAGCTTTGTAAATATATGTTTACCTCTATACGATCTAACCAAACATTTACCGTTTATTGGTTACTGTAACTGACTCTATCGGGCTGAGTTGGTCTACCCAAGTTACGAAAATGTTCTACTTACGAGGCACTTGATCGCTGCAATTACTTGAGCCCTACAAGGAAAAAAATATATAAATTGATAAACTTATTTGACATCTTGAAAAGATTTTCAACGAGGTAATAACTATGAACTGTACCAGAATAACTCTGAAGAAAGATACGACTATTATTTGAAGTAAAAGAGGATCTCTCCACTGCATTCTGTGAACAGTTTTATTTTAAGTTGTTCGAAGCCGATCGCCAGTATCTCTTTCGAAAATATTGCCGCCGTCAGGGATGCCGAATAAATTTCTGTTTAAATTTTCGCCTCTTAAGCCACGGATCGCTGTCATGACATAGTACACAAGCCGCTGAGTAATTGACGCAGCGAATGTAACTTTTCTTCCAGAATATTCTCTTGATTGGCTGCAGAAAATCATTATAACCGTATCTAACATGCAACCCCCCGGTGCGAAGGTACTCGGTTTATTTCAACTTCATTGAATTCTGATTATTACCGTGCTGATACTGAATTTATCAGCGTGATTATCATTGTGTCTCGAGTCGGATAAGGCTCAAAAAAGGAACCACACCTAATGGCATGGTAATTTGCAACAAGATAAAACAACGCCTGTATAACTGTAACTGTTAATGAAAATATTGATGCATATGACTCAAACATAATCCTGTACTTTAGTGATGTCCAGCTTCGAGAGCGAAAAGTATTATGGAGCTAAACTTGATTCAGATGACGCGCTGAAACACCTTAATTCTTAGACACTAAAACAATACTTTCCCCTTGTCTTTACAACAGTAAGTCTTGGGTTTTGACTAATTCTACTACACCTCCATATTTTTAATTACACTTGTCACTATTTTATAAGAGCTGAAATTAATTATTTAACGCCTAAATCCATTTCGTACATCTGGCGACACGAGAAACCCTCGATGGAAGATTTATGTAAAAATCACATCTATCTTTGGTTTAGCTTCTATCTAAAAGACCTCTGTTACATCTCCAAGTTAAAACATGGCTTTCGAGTTTTTTTAATTATTCCAGTTAAAATGATAACTTTACGAGCACCAAGAAATGAAGGTTGGTGTTGTTGTCAAACTCTTTCTAGGGTTTTGAAGTTAAACAAAACATATAATCATAAAAATACAGACTAAAGATCTTCTCTGAGTTGACTGTAAATTCTGAGGATGTTTCTTAGGAGCAAGTTCCTCACTCTAACTCACTAATGCAGGTATCCAGTCATTCCAAAGGCAGTTCAATTCTTTGGGGGATTTTTTTCAGTGTTTAAATAATTTTTATGAGAAACCTAGTTTGGAATTTTTTTCTTTAGAATTGGTTTTCTTGAATCAAAGACAAACCAAAATATATACAACGAAAGTTTCTGGAGTCATATTAGTGAAAGATAATTTTCAGCTCGCTTGGAGGTAGGCTGCACGGCTAATTCGTTTTCGCAATTTTTCCGCCTCCACTTAAATAACATGAGTAAGGGATCGCTATGTATTTTATGCTGCTTCTCTAACTTTCCACGAGGATTTTCTCTTTTTTCCCATACGTGTAATTTGTCTTTCGTATATTTGACCATCACCTTGCACAAGAAGTACGTGATTTCATTCTCCTCCTACCATGAAAGGTCTTAATGGTACATTCAAATGCCAGGTTTTGAAATTGTAACTTTTCTTGATATAACTGATTATTAAAAGAAGTCGACAGCTCATTGCACTTGGTTTTATAACGCAGTGTTCAGTTGAAAGTGTTTTTGACGGTAACCAGGCTATGCAATAAAATTACACGCGCGTCTTGCGTTTGATCAAAGAGAATTCTATCCACTTTTTGTGCGCAACATTAATAGACCGCTTTTGTTTCGTGTGAAACGTGACTTAAGCTAATTAATCTGTGATTTTTGATTGCTAATGAAGATGTTTTCCCTGCACTTGAAGTAAGACTTAGTGCAAATTAATTCAAGTGGGTGAGGGGAAAACCCACAACTTAAGGTAACAAGTGATTACGCCCCATTGCAAGTACGCCCCTTTTAGGAAATTTGCATGTTTATCGAACTTTGTTATGTTGGTCATAACATATCATGATTTCGACAGGAAATGAATACGTTCAGCGGTAAGGAAAAGAGTCGAAATATTTGGCTGCGCGCTCGTTCGATTTTGATATCACACGTATGATTTCAGAATTGTTGAACTCCAATCAGTTTAACTACCATCATTTATAACATCCATTTTGACATCACACGTAATCCTGGCAATCTTTTTTGCTCTCATCGGTGCAATTTATCCACGAATCACACCAATTTTTACTCTAAATCACATCTTTTACCGATTCAATGAGACAGCTTCACTAAAACATAATAACCAATCAGATTTCAAGTCTTCTTTAAAGTAAAGAATCAAATTAGAGGAAAATTAAAGAAAACTTTTCATCATCATCATGAACTCTATTAATATGTCTTGAATACCTAGCCGATGGGGTTAAAAACCCCTCTTCTAGTTGGGGACACTTAATATAGTTAATAACCAACTAACTATTTTCTAATGAACTATTACATACTGACCCTATGTCATAGCGTTTTCACAGAACGGTTTATTTTTAGACTATCCTTTCGCGGAAAATAGGCTACTCGAGCTCACTTGGGTTATACGATCCATGAAACGCAAAGAAAAAAATGGCGGCCTACGCAAATTCTGCCTTTCTTTTGCTGTATTCCAGTATTCCAATCCTTCCTTTCCTTATATATCCCACTACACTTTGCAAATTTTTCACACTTGCGAAAAAATACGTAGGAGTGCGGATCATCGTTATATTTTTATTTGTATTTATTCCTTTTTTTAATTTTCGTGTGTAGCAAAGGTCATTCGTCTTCTGATTCTGGCTCCTCTAAAAAAAACTTCATGAAAAGAGTCCAAAGATGATGAAGAGGCGAAATGCCAGCGATGATGGAGAGCGCGGAAACAAGAAATTGCGTCAGTAAGCTGTGTGCGAGTTGTCTTCATCTCAAGAATCTTAATCCACACAGTCCGTAAAGGAAATTTTGCGACGTAGGATTGAACAGAAGCGGGTGCAACAAAATGAAGAGAGTTTTTCTAGATCGCAAGATAATGCTACTCTTTCGAATTAGGCTTCGATCTTGTCAAATCTTACTTTATTTTTGGGAAGTGCGGTCGATAATTGCCGCATGCGGCAAAATTCACGGTGCCTATTGTCGCTTTGATCATTGAACAGTCAAGAGTCAGGTTCATCTTCACTAGAAATTTCCTCGGAACTGCCGCTTCCCGAGGTATTTTCAAAACATTCACACTGTAAGCGTCCCAAGCTCACTGTTATTCCTGTTATGAGACGAAGTCAAGGCTGCGCACTTCGATTTCGACCGTCGTATAACAGGAACAACAGTGACGGCAAAGCAAGCTTAAAACGGCAGAGAACGCCGGAAACCACAACGGACACAAAAAAATGTGAGTAAATTCGATTGATTTAACGCGTAAAATGTGCATATTTCGAAATATTTATCGTTGTAAATCGACCATATTTCGTTCCCTATGCTATTCCTTATATCATGTTCAAATTCTCAACGGTTCCTCCCGTAAGTTAACACCGAGTCACACAACATGTGACGCTTTCATGACTTAATCGTTTGCTTTTTATCGAGACGTGAGCTTGGGACGCCTTTGTTCACACGAATCTGCACTCGAACTATCGCAAGAAGCCTTGCATCTCTCTGCTGTTTCTCTTTCGATATGTTAACGAGTAAAGTTAGAAATTAACCAGGCGCTAATCTTGATTAGTCGGTGTGCTCTCGTGGGGAGTCCTAGTTCGCGGTAAATTCAAACTAAAAATAGACTTGTCTGTGAAAACGCAGTGACAAAAATACAGGGCAGTTAAAGGCTCCAAGTGATGGGCTCCTGACTATTAAAAAAAAATCCTAAAAATGTAATTAACAATATAATATAGTTAAAAACCTATAAGCTATCGACTAGTGGAATAAATTATTGAAAAGAGAAAAGATTAAGAATTACAAAGGATGCAATTGGAAAAATTGTCGTCTTCTACCATTACGCTCAAATCAAATTTTCGGATACGATTTTTAAAACTAAATAATGATGGGAGGGTTCTAATTTCGCTTGGTAACTTATTCCACAACTTTGGTCCCAGGTAGGTGAGCGAATGTTTACCATACTTCTTGGTCCTAAATTTGGGGATGACAAACTCCGCCACCCTTAGATCATCGTCGTTAGATCACTCTTGTCCAGTAATGCTTGGTAGCTTGATTGCTTATCGAGGAAAACTGCGTGTAGTGCTCTTTCCTGAATAAGTTCGAGCTTTCTTTTGTTCTTTCATTTCACAGAAATGCCAAGTCAGGTGGCCATAGGTTGAGTAAGGCAATATAGCTGATTTATAGAGAGTTAATTTAGCATTGGTAGGAATAAGTTTTTTGAGCCTCAACATTACGCCTACCTTTTGACTCGCCCTCTTACAGATTTCAATAATGCGAATGTTAAAATTCAACCTAGCAACTCAAGACATTCAGAAGATTCAATGGTGATTACTTGAAATTGTAATGGAATGTTACTTTCTGCCTAGTTATGCTTTAAAGTCATAGTTTGATATTTGCTCAGGTTTCCTTTTAGCAGATTGCTAGCATACCATTCGGTGGCCCCATTGGCATTCTTCATAAGATTGGTGTAAGCCATTTTCGGGTCCCCCGCTGTTTCATACATTTGATGGTCATCCGCGTATATGGAGAGATGCGAAGTAATTATGTACGTCAAATCATTTTGAAAAATGTTCCAGAACAATGGGCCTAGGGCTGATCCTTGTGGGCAACCCCTATCTGTCTGCCTCCACTCACTTCTGAAAGCTCCCAGTTTCACTCGGTTCAATCGATTACACAGGTAAGATCGAAGTGGATCACGCAGTTCGTCATGAAATCCATACGCTTTTAATTTGCTGATCATTAAGGAAGGATGGAGCGAATCGAAAGCCATACTAAAGTCGGTAGACAAGATTTTAACAGTTTGCTGGTTGTCACGTGCTGATTCCCACGCTTCAGTGTTGTTTCACAACTATAGCGTTTACGGTATGCCGTGATTCGAGGGTCCAAACGGTTGTCAAATTGCTTTGAAATCTGGTCGCTGGGTAGCTGCTCAAACACCTTACTAACCACTGGAAGGACAGTTATTGGTCGATAGTTCCGCCAGTGGTATAACGAGTTTTTCCGCTCCATACCTCAGTACTCTGGCTGGCAAATTGTCACATCCAGATGCTTTTCTCGTATTAAGTGACTCCCGGAGCATTTCTGACTTGTACTTGGTTAACTGGATTGGACTTGATCATTGGGTTTGAACTATTCGCCATTCGTATTTGCAAGACACTTAAATGGTTATTTAAGTCACTCTCCGAGGAGTTTCTTAAGTTGACATCTCCGGTATCGCTTGCTATTGTTGCAAAATGATCTGCTAATATTTCCGCAATAGTCTCTTGGCTGCCAATGATCTTGCTGTCAACTTTTAAGTTAATATTAGTTCCCATGACCCCTTCCTAGATCCAAGAAACGGTTTAATAGTTTCGAAAAAAAATTTATTGGGTTTTCTTTAAGGTCAGAAGTCTTTTTCTTCCAGTATTGCCGAACAACAAGACTTCTTTGTCTGACTGCCTCATTGCGACATTTCACTTTCTCTTCCCAGTTTTGTTGTGCCCTTTCATTTAGGTACTTCTTAAAAGCTCTTCTCTTTGCTCGGATGGCATGTTTCCATGCAGTCGTCATATAGGGTGTATCTTTATCCCCTACTCGCTTCTTTTTCTGAGGGAAGCATTCGTCCACGATGTCTTGCATGATTTCTATCCCAATAGTACAGCTCTACATCGTCAAACAGGTTTCCGACGTGCCAAGGTGCCGTCATTAGTAGGTTATTATATTTCACCGGATCAAAATTTTTGTAGCTCCTAAAATGGATGATTTTACGTGAGTCTTTCCTCGCTTTTTCTTTCACTATACCATAGATGAACATACGATCACTTAGAGCAGGGTCAAAAACTCCTCCTCTAACGAACAGGTCTGGTTGGTTGGTCAGCGGTACATCACTAATAATTTTGCAAATTTTCATAAACCAGCTCAGCCTGGAACAATAAAATGATTGTACAGACTAAAAATATTCTATATTGGGGTGACTGAATTTTGCGATTTCAAAATGAATATGATAAAGAGGTAACTGAACTTATAGTCGTGCAATTTTGATCTGAATTTATACTTGCAATTTGTAGTCAAACCTGCGCTGCGCGCTCGTTCAATTTTGAAATGATTCAGATAATTTCAGACCAAACTGCACTCTTCTCAGTTCAATTATCATTATTAATTTACGAGCCCTGTGCCTAAAAAATTTTTGCATAAATCAAGAGAAAATAAAGAATTAGTTTCTCTTGATGCATATCTTTAGGTCGCTAAAGCAAAATAGATGTGTCTCCAAAGAGTCACATTATTACCCCCAACCAGACGATCACAATATTCGCCCGAAGAAAGATCTCTTCGGTTGTAAAAAAAATTGTTTCCCCGATATCGATGAAAGATTTGATAAATTTGAGTAACTGCTTTATCGAAGACAAGTATCTACCATCACAACCATGAACATAAGAGATATTTTCGAAATTAGAAAAACCATCATTCAGAAATGCCACGTCTCCATCCATCAACACCTCTTCTCCCTCCCAGAGAAAGATATTCGACAACACATGGACAAAGAAGATTAAGAAGGCTTAGATTCGAGGCAGATCGATCTATTTCATGGCTGAACTGTCACTTACTAAAATTCCCTGTCTGAAATTCGATTTGGCATTCATCTTTGAAAATATCAAAATACTGCTGAGATATATTTAAAAGTATGCTATTGTAATGCAAATAGTGGTTGCAGCTTAATCACGGGAACATGTTAAATGCATCTCAAGGTTGGCACAAGGAAAATCCTCTTTCTTGAAAATTTGAATTTCAGCCTTAGCGATTTCGCCTTCGAATGCTCCAGAAACTGAGCTGTGGAGAAGTCGTTGGTAAGCCAAGCCATGTTAAACTTGTTTCATATGTGATAAGTGCGCGTCCTGCATACTGGACTAACTAAGGGTGTTTGAAGGGTTGCACAGTTGCTCTGGAAACCATTCGTCAAGTTAAGAACCTTCCTTTCAAATCACTTCTTTGACAAACACAATCATCTTCTAGTTTGCAAATTGCAAAAAAAAAATGTCTATTTTCCAGAATTTCATTTGCTAATGTATTTCTATGAGGTACTGTGGAGCAGCAAAAATTGTGGCTTTTATGTAAACTACTTAAATTCCATGATTCCGTGTGAGTACCCATTGCGAGCGTATTTTAAAAAGTCAATCGCGCTTGGACTGGAACCGAGCCACGTTTTATGAAATTCAAATGAAGACTCAAGCGCCTTAAGCCACGTCTCAGAACCCCCTTCGATCAGCTGATCCAACACAACAAAACATCACTGAATGTAAATCGCAAAGAGATCGGTGGAAAAGGCTTTATAGTATTTAGTAAAGCATCTGATATGGAACTTCAAGGATTTCAAAGCAAAAAGAAGCCGTCTTTGATAAACCGTTCTCTGCTACCCGCGAAGTTGATCAACTTGGTCCAGTCGGCCGGCGAAGCGAATCTTCTGCCGTTTTTGCCGATGTTTTATCGTTTCATTGGACTAACAGCTCTTCAAAATGGTATTTTGGGAAGCGCGAGACATTTGGTTTCTTTTTGGGCTTCCCCTTTACTGCGGATCATCGCCGAAAAGACAAACAAGAGAAAGTTTCTTTTTCTTGTCTTGCTGTTAGCCTCAGTGATTTCTAATATTTCCCTCGGACTAGTAAGAACGGCAGTATCCACAACAAACTTCCGAGCTTATAACTGCGAGCATTTAGAACTTAATCACAGCATTTCAAGAGTCAATGGGTCCGACATAAATCACTTCAACGCTTCAACAAAGAAATCAGCAGAATTCTCTCCAACAGGTGCAATCAATAAATCGCTCGCCACATTATTTTCGAATGAGCCGGAAGCTGCCGTGGGAAATTTAACGCTATTAAATAACAATACGTCAACGACAAACAAAAGATTTGACATCGGATTGCGGAAAATTAAACGAAGAGACTCTGAAAACAATGGAAATATTTTAACTCTTGCGAGCCTATCGCCTCTGGCACCCCAAGTTAATAATTCAGCAAGCACATATAACAATAACCAAATCGATTACTTAAATTATCAAGCGAAGAGCGAATGGTACAGCCTCTTCGGGTTTAGAATGGATTACACCTTCAAGGTCCTTTTCACTTTGGTACTTTTAAGTGAACTTTTCATGTCCTCTATGAAAGGAATCAGTGGAGTTTTGTTTTCTGACATAAACCGACAGAACAAAATTTCTCGCTTTGCTAACAATGTCTGGACATCTTTAGGAACAGTTCTTGGAGGTGGAGTGCTAATTATGGTCATTGGCTATTATCGGTGCGAGTTTGGCCTGATAAACAGTTTCTACTTACATTTTTATATTTATGCAATCTTTGGAGCTGTGTCCTTTGCTCTTGGCGCAGTCTTGAAGGAACAAGAGCAGAAGTCAATCTTGGTACTGAGATTTGCAAGGACATGTGGGCATCTCTGTTGTGATGTAAACATGTTATGCTTCCTTGCCGTGTTGCTGGTACTGGGAATGGCAGAGTCTCTCATGTACAACTTTATGATGTGGTACCTGCAAGACATTGGAGCATCAATTGTTGTTATGGGCATAATTTTAGTAACAAGTGCATTCTCTGAAATTCCAACACTGTACATCTCGAAACACTTGATTCGCTGCTGTGGTCATCACTGGGTAATATTTGTGTCTCTCTTCTGTTATGGAGGCCGTTTCCTTTATTTCTCATACTTTAAAAACCCCTGGCTTATTATTCCTATAGAACTTCTTCATGGTCTTTCATATACAACAGTTCACATGGCTTGTTCATCATATGCAGCCACAGTGGCCTTTCAGGGAACAGAAAAGACACTAAAGATTATTTTCTCCATAGTATACCATGGTCTGGGTATGGGAATTGGTGGTATTGCTGTGGCTCTTTTGTATCAAATTTATGGTCCTATAGTGATTTTTCGCTGTGCAGCAGGAGTATGTGGTGTATATGCACTGGTTTTTGCCATGCTTCAGTGTATTCTTGTTCTACCTGATGGAGATAGGAGTGGAGGAAAGGTTATGGAATACCAACAGATAAGCTTGGATGGAGAAAGAGGTGACTTACCTTTTCAGGCAGACTGGCTAATGGAAGCCCTACAGGCAGAGGAGGAAGGAGAGGAAGAGACTCACTTTATGAAATAATCAGCCAAGGTGACCAGACCTTATAAATTTGTAATGTTTTCTTTCTTGAGAAATTTTCAATTTGAAAATACTTCCCATGTAATATAATTCTAAGAAAAACACTTTCTTTTCTTGGGATGCTGTATTTCTACCCACATATTTGAAATCTAAAGAAGAGAAACATTGCAAGATTAAATTATTTATAGCTACCTTGTCTCTCTTTTTTTTTTACCTTTAACTCTCAGTGTCCAATTTTTAAATCTCCTCTTTGGCTGTAACACATTTGCTTGCGGACCAATAAAGAGAACTTGTGTAATATCAAGATAGGACCCTGTTGCTGACAAGGTTGTTTATTCCCATCAGATGTTTGTGGGATAATTTTGTCATTCCTGTCACCATAACATTTTCAAATTGACAATAAAAGTAATAAATTACTCATAATTTAACCCTTTACACCCTAACATCAGTATGCATATTCTCGATGTAATGATCTTTATACATTTCTTAAAGTGCTAACATGGTGAATTTGTTTAACAATTTACGTGTGTAATGGGTACTCACACAGAATCATGCATTTAAGCATTTTAAAATGAAAGCTGGAAGGTGTGCTCCTCAGTGTCTCAAAGAAATGCATCTGCAAATGTACTTCTGGAAAATAAATGTCATTTCCAATTTGCCAACTAGGAGATGTTTGTGTTTGTTAGAGAGGTGAATTGTTAGGGAGGTTCTTTTCTTAACAAATGGTTTCTAGGACAACCATGCACCCTCACAAACACTTTTAACATTACCATCAATTTTAGCAACAGAAAAAAGAAGAGTACACAATCAGCTAATCCAATACGCAAGCGCTTTTTTAGTTGGTTATCATTTTCTTTATTCTCATGACCTATAAGTGTGTTTCAGGGGTAACATCATTTAAAGAACTTAGATGCTAGTTACTTTTAGGGGTCAAATGGTGAATTCTAGAGTCGATTACCCTTGGATGAAGTCTTTCAACTATGACCCATATGGCTAAAAGTTCAAAAATTTCAAAACATTTAAATCATCCCATTTGACCACCCATTTATATAGCCATGTTGTGCCACTAGTTTGGCCATTTCCTTACCTCAACCAACCAGTTACCTCCCCTGTGTCTAAAACATTTGGGTAATTGAAATTTATGGACAAATGCTTCAGGAATGTATATGTTTAGACCAGTTTTGCTTTGAAATTGAACATTTAATTTGATTTTAGATTACCTGATGGAAAACATATTTTAAATCAAAGATCAGTTGTTAAAAAAAGATGTTCCAACAAGCTTCTTGAAGTAAAATATTGCCATGGCAAAGTTGTAATTTCTTTTAAGAATCCTTAATTTTATGGCTGTGGTTGTAATTACTTCACCCTTTACACCCTAACATCTGTATGGATACTTTTCATACTGCTCTGATCCATACATTTCCTAAGATTCTGATGAGAAACATTTGTCTGGCAATCAAGAGCTTTTATGTTTGGTGATCATTCTCTTTACTTTCACAACAACCCAGCATGATGTGTGATTCAGGGGTGATACCGTATGTAGAATTTAGATGCTAGTCACTCTCTGGGGGCAAACTGTTAAAAATGAACTTGGAAAGACAAACACAATGTGAGACATGTACTGGGAAGGTGCATTCAGTTTGACTTCACAGTGACTGCATTGTATTGTCTGTTTTACCAACTGTTCTGAGTGTCTGTTGCATAAGCTTAAAATGTACAACACTTGCAACCAAAGAATTATTATTTTTAGCCTATTTGAAAAA